GTAAGCGGAAATACTATAGGCCTCTTAGTGCAGGTTGGAGGGCTTCAACTCCGCTTTTACCGATGCTGGACTCTCCTCCTCGACTTCCTGAATGCCTTCAACAGTATCAGCCGTGCATCGATGTTTGAGCAGGTCCGATCACGCATTCCTGGCCTGGCTGCATGGCTGGAATCATGCTACTCCACCCAACCCTTACTTCATCTGGGGTCTAACATCATACATAGCTGTTGTGGGGTTCAACAGGGGGACCCTCTAGGTCCACTTGGGTTCGCTCTCACTCTCCAGCCTATTGTGGAGCGAATCAAGGCTGAAGTTCCTGACCTCACCCTGAACTCTTGGTACCTCGACGATGGGACCCTTTTGGGCTCAGCCGCAGATCTCGTGCAAGCTCTCAACATCATTGAGTCGGATGGCCCCGCGGTCGGACTCCACCTTAATAGGGCAAAATCCCTACTCTTCATCCCTCAGGTGGAGGATGCTTCATCATATCCACTACCACAAGACATCCCAGTTACCCGGCAAGGCTTTACTCTCCTTGGTTGCCCTGTGGGTCCTCCTTCCTTTTGTGAGGAGACTCTGCTTCGTCGAGTGGAGAAGATCAAGTTTGCCCTTGACTGGTTGGGGGACCTGGGGGATTCACAGCTCGAGACAACCTTGCTCCGCTCCTGTCTCTCGCTCCCTAAGTTCGCCTTTGCCCTCCGGGCATGTCCGCCTAGCCACATTTGCCAAGCTGCAAGCAACTTTGACCAGGCTGTACGTGAATGCCTGGAGCACATCATTGGTGGTCCGATCTCACAGTGGTCCTGGCTCAAGGCTTCCCTTCCAAGCAAGCGGCTCAACCTGCGGAGCGCTGCTACCCACGCCCCCGCAGCCTTCCTGGGCTCCAGTCAACGGGTGTGGCCATTGGTGGAAAGGATCATTGGTTTTTCTCCTGGACCTTCACCTCACGTTCCCCCAGCCATAGCTGTCCTTGCTTCTGCTGCCAACCGCCCTGAATGGGCTAATCTTGATGATGTGGATGTCCCTATTTATCAGCGCTCACTCTCCGCCGCCATCGACGAAGCTATCTTCAACAACCTCCTCTCCACTGCCCCGGACACTCGCTCCAGAGCCCTAGCTCACTCTTCAAGTCTTCCACATGCTGGGGACTGGCTGAATGTGGTTCCCTCCGCTCCACTTGGCCTCCACATCCATGACAAGGAGTTTCGCTGCTCTCTCAGGTACTGGTTGGGGGTCCCTCTCTATGGGAGCAACTATCCATGTCCCGAATGCGGGCTCCAGGCAGACATGATGGGGGACCATCAGGTGGGCTGTGGAGGGAATGGAGACAGAATTTCCCGACACAACAACATCAGAGATGTCCTCTTCAGCGCTGCTCAATCTGCTGCCCTTGGCCCGAGAAAAGAAGCTCCCGGAATTGTTTCTAATTCCTGTGCTCGCCCCGCTGATATTTTGCTTCCTAACTGGAGCAGGGGCCGGCAGGCAGCCCTGGACGTGTCGGTCATTTCGCCACTACAGCGGCTGACCTTGGCCGAGGCTGCAGTGACCCGAGGCTACGCACTTGAAGTATGTGTCCGACGCAAGCTCTCGACCAACCTACCAGCTTGTCGAGCCGCTGGAATTGAGTTCATTCCGGTGGTGGTGGAGACTTTGGGCGGTTGGGCTCCAGGAGCATCATAAATACAATATTAGAGGTGTTTCATTGGTGTGTCTGTGTGTGTGTGCAAATATATATATATATATATACCTTTCTCTTTGGAGAAGGAGAGGTGAAGATGTAGTGGACTCTCCACATCTTAGACAGCACCACGGCCAGACACAGAGTATTCCCAATGGAGAACAGCCATATACGGAACTACACGGTCGGTAATACAGTATACAGTGGACAATATGAACCACAATGATTTTTTTCGGTGTGGGTGACTAGTAAGAGAAAGAACTGAAAACTGCAATCACAACAGCCCTTGTTGTATTTCTTCTGAAATATATACGTAGGGATAGAGAAGCCACATGACTAGATCTTCCAACATTGATTCCGTCCCAAATGTTTATTGATCACGTACTGAACGAGGCCTACGCACGCAGCTATGCATAGTACGTATAGAACTAGTTTTAATATGCCACATCTCCACGATAATAATAATACACTACCATTGATGCTAGCTCACGCGTACGTATATATCATGATTTGCTATCCCTCGGTTTGTATCGCTCTGTAGATAACAAGTGGAGCTCTTATATAAATATCACTCTTCTTCTATCTCCTTTGTTCTTTCTGTTTTCTTTATAGTATGTAAGTCAAGCGTTAGCTGTTACTTTACATGGGTGGGGGAGGTTATTTCTTTTCCTCTGATATTATTCTTTTAGCTAGTATGCTTTAAACATGTTTTTCATGCATGAGTGAAAGTGTTCAACTCTTACGTTGCACAGAACGGTAGCCTCCATTTCTTCCTTGGCGGGGGACACCCAGAAGAAGACCGACATGTACAGGAGGACCACCCCCACAATTATGAGGTAATTGAGGTTGGGGCTAGTCAGTCTCACAATCCTGCGATGGAGGGTGAAATAAATACAAAGTGCACATCACTTTTGGATCTTAGAGTGCAATTTTAACGGTTGGCACACTTAATTTTAGTTGCGTGAGGACAACCTAATGAAAAAACCGCGCGTAGGGGCAGACAATTTTTCAATAAGGCTACCATCCGCAGAATAGGGGAAGCACTTGGACAGAGGGTGAACCCTTCCTACTTGCCTCAGACCACAAAACACCTCTTCGGCCGTCTGGGAGTCGCCCTTTGGCGTGGAAACGCCACACTATGGCTCCGTCGGTCCCCGCCTCTACCCCCTTCAACCGATGGCATCATTTGACTTGTCGATTTATTTATATTAATTTTTTATCTATTAATTTTTTTTTTACTCCAAATCTTAGACGCCGAGGCAGCTCAATACTACGCGGAGTAAGCGAAAATACTATAGGCCTATCGCGTGTCCGATCTCTTAGACTCCGAGGCAGCTCAATACTACGCGGAGTAAGCGGTAATATAAGCGTGTCCGATCTTAGACGCCGAGGCAGCTCAATATACTACATTTATGCCATCTCATAAAATTGCAATCAAGCATCATTCACGTCTATTGTAATTAGTGAGCGAAACTAGCCTTCCTTGTCCTCTGAATGTAGGATTATTCTGTACATCTGTAACAGTGAACAGACTCAACATTCTGTAGTTTTTAACGTAATTCTATATACGGGCAAAAACACACTGAAATATTGAACTGCTCGCTCTTAAAAGATGCATTATATTCAAAGTGCATATAAAAGGTAGCATGAAACTGAACACTCAAGTTTGAATCAACTGACTGCATTCCAAGTTTGACTGATTGAGGCAGTGGACATAATACTTTGCTCGCCAGTATGAATGCTAGTAAGGGTGTTGTTCGATCAGGTAACCAGACACTTGTGCTTATGTGCAAGACCCCATCTAGTTCAAACCCTTTTCTGAGGCCAACTTTGTCCATGGTATAGCAGCCTATTCTCTGGCCAGCTATATCCTCAAGATAAAAGACAGACACATTAATTATGGTGGACAAACTAACATTGGTCAGCCTTCCTTTAATATTATTCGATTCCGGTTGAGTCAAATGTTGTTTTTGACCAGACCTCAAGTTGACTGAGGGCATCATGGAAATCTGATACCTAAGAGGTAGAGTATGTAATATGCAATGTGCAGAGCTATGTCATCCTAAAAACAGATAAACTTTACCCTGCGCACACTTCCTGGGTGCATTGTAAAGAGTCTATAATAGCTCCCACTTTGAAATAATTATGGTTCAGAATTCAATAATTATGGTTTGTGCACAGGACTACCTGCATCTTAAAGCCTACCAGGAACAAGTGGTGTCTTTAGCCTCTCCGATGTTGGACACTGGATTCCCCTGCTTCAGGAAGAAAGAATTTGGATGGTCATGTGACCCTACTTTCTCAATTCTCATTATGATTGTCTCAGCACCAGATTTAGGGGCTCGAGGGTCTACGAGCTTTTGAGCCAAGCAGGCGTGCTCTGCAGGCTCTGCAAGTACGTAACCCTCGCTGCGCATGCGCGCCGAGGGTTAGAAACCCAATGGAGTACCATGCATTTCCATTGCCAAGTAAAGTCACTTTATGTGTTTTGCGATATGTGTGGCTGAAAAGGAGAGTTATCACTATTACATGGAAGAACACTTATCCTATGATAGAAAAAAGAACAGTGTGTTCCTATTCATACTGAGTGAGAGTATATAGCACAGTAGTTAGAGGTTTGCCTTTGTGTTGTATTGTGTTGAATATTTGAACCCCTACCAGCTGATTGTCCCTGGTCAGAGTGTCGTGGGTTCGAATCCCACCCAGGGCAGCTCTTCTTTTTTCCTTGGATATGTAGTGAACTCACCTGAGTTGTGGTTACACATGTGACAGACCATCATCAGCTGCACGATGCTATCACACTTACATAACCTTCTAGAATTTTCTCCACCACGTGTTTGCAGTCTATAAAATGTATGCCGTGCTGTATGTGATGATCAGTTCTTATGGTCGTGACTTACGACAGATAAAAGGAACTGTCCTGGGTGTAGTTGACTTGTTTGCTGTGCCTTTGCCTTTCTACCTTGTAGTTTTCACATACGGTAACTACGGGGAAATTGTTGAGCAACAAACATTTCTTGTGGGTGTTCTCGCTGTTAAAACCTTTTAGCCGAGTGTGATGAGAAAGCACATGCGTATGAGGAAAAACTCATGTGCCACATTGCTCCAAAGCAAACAGTTGTATTGCACACAGACCGCATGTGATCTAACTTAGGATGATTCTGATTACGTACAGTAGAATGATCACTCCCAAATTAGGTCGTGTGTAGCCAGTTCACACAAGTGACATATCAAAATTATCCTCAATCTTTGCTGATTAATCTGATAAGGGTCCAGTTAGGCCGTGTGATAGTCTTCTGCCGTGGAGTAATAATCATCATCCATGCTTTTCTGAAGTTACTCACATGTGGTCTGTGTGTGCTGTTAGCTTGCTTTCCGCATTCTCCACTATTCTCTAGTGACTTACTTTACTCTCCACAGCTAATGTTTTCCGTGAAGTAATCATAATCCTCCATGCTCAGTTTCTCAAGTTACTCACATGTGCGTGTGTGCTGTTAGCTTGCTTTCTGCATTCTCCACTATTCTCTAGTGACTTACTTTACTCTCCACAGCTAATGTTTTCCGTGAAGTAATCATAATCCTCCATGCTTTTCTCAAGTTACTCACATGTGGTGTGTGTGCTGTTAGCTTGCTTTCTGCATTCTCCACTATTTTCTAGTGACTTACTTTACTCTCCACAGCTAATGTTTTCCGTGAAGTAAGCATAATCCTCCATGCTTTTCTCAAGTTACTCACATGTGGTCTGTGTGTGCTACTACGATCGGGCGCAGAAGCCGAATTCGTGACTGAAAGAGATATATAAATGCTGTTTTGAACACTGTAGGGGATGGATTGTGGACTCCTTGGGGATCTGCAGGCTTTATTTCCACCCACACGTAGCTCGGAGAAGAAGCAAAAAATTTGTGCACCTCGGCTGCTCCAACTTCCTTCGTTGCTGAAATAATGTGCAGTGCACTGTAAGCCCTTTCAGGGGTCTACGAGCTTTTGAACCAAGCAGGCGTGCTCCGCAGGCTCTGCAAGTACCGTTCATCCACAAGTGACGTTTCAAGTACTCTACCGGATATAGTGAACGCGGAATGTGTCGAGCGAGTAGCTTTGTCGCGCACACTCGCTCGCGGAGCCCCACCCCCTCATTTGCGTGCCGTGTTTTGTGGGCGGGCGTGAGCTGCCTGGCTACCTATGAACCATGGCAAGGAGAGGGAGATGTGCTAAAAGCAGACAGAAAGCTGTCTTGTGGAAAAAGAAAATCAAGATATTAGTTATGTTGATCAACATTTTGTACAGATCATGTTTTGTGGGATACATTTCCTACACGAAATGCTGTTGAACTTGTTGAAAATCAACAGAAAAAACGAGGTTTCATATCATGTTTTCATGTTACTTTTGTTAGCTCACGAGGTTCATATGAGAAATCAGGAACCTCGTACTAACAAATCTGATTGGTCGATTCGAATCAGCTATGATAGAGACAAATAAACTGTACTAACTAGGTAAAGCTAATACCCAGAGTGATAAAACTTCGTACACATATACAACCCATCATTAGTAGCAAAATGTAAACATTACAATTTTGTAAACAACAACAAACAGCCTCAGGCAAATAAATGGTGCTTGTGCCTCTAACTTGCTTATGGTTGGTCCTCCAACAATGAAACTTGGTACAGTGATTCACCATGATAAAGAGAAAAACAGAAATTAGCTACAAGGTTGTAAACAACAACAAACAGCCTCAGGCAAAAAAGACTTAATGGTGTAAGTGCCTATAAATTGCTTATGATGGGTCCTCTCACAATGAAACTTGGTGCACTGATGTAGCTAATGTGAATGACGACAAAACGTCTGAGGCGATAGCTTAAGGCCACTAATGTTACTTGTTTTATGGGCTTATGCCCAAAAATTGCGCACCATGCATGTGAATGCAGTAAAAAAGAAAAGGAGACAAGTAAATAAAACAATTCTTCGGATTAAAAAAAGTTTGGAATATAGGGGTGCCATGATAAGCAAGGAGACAAGACAGGGATGAGCTAGTGACTAGTACAATGGATGATGGCTACATACTTTGAACTGACATCGCTTGCTCGTGTAAAATTTCCTCCACACAAGCCCTATATTGTCGCCACCTTTACTGTTCGTTTAGTGAAGTGCGAGGACAATGGTGGACCAGAAAACCTTTAATGTCACTCATGAATTTCCTTACTGGAGCTGCGTAAAACAAGTGGGGTGGTGTGGCCCTTAGTCTGCCCAAGTTTGGTGCAGCTAGTAACTCGACAGTTAGCTACCACAACAACCAGGGCTTAGGAATGGAGAATCTAACAGACAATCTTCTGTTTGGTGCGTATGTGCAGCTTCGCGTGTCCGATCTTAGACGCCGAGGCAGCTCAATACTACGCGGAGTAAGCGGAAATACTATAGGCCTCTTAGTGCAGGTTGGAGGGCTTCAACTCCGCTTTTACTGGATAATATTCCAGAAACCTTCGTGATGAAGGGAGATTTGCAGGGCGTCCGTCGGTAGATGAAAACGTCCGATGTTACGTAATATCGGCAGTCGACCTTTTCGACGCGGCAACGAAAGCGCGTCAATCCAAACCTGGTACGAAGGATTATCGTTTGAAACACTACATCCTAGATATAAATGATATTTTATTGTATGCTCTGGAGGCCTGTCCGATTATACATGGTGTCCGATCTTTGATGAGTTACTCTATTAGGCTGCCCTCCTCCTCTCTCTGTCTGTCAGTCTGTCAGTCTGTCTGTTACTCAACACATCTCACTTCTCCAATGTTCGTTCGTCTCACAAACGATACGACTTACTTAACGGGCAATGAAGGTCAGAAATTTCGAGCGGTTTTATCTGAAAACGCTCCGTTGCAAAGCTATATAGAGCGGTTCCAGCATTGTATATATACGGCTAATGCGTAGTCGGCCATTTTATCGCTGCGGAAAATGCACATGCGCATTTATTAGCACAGGCTTGGCTCTGTATATCTTGAACTAGGCACAAGAAGTCACAACGATTGTTAATAAGCAGAAACCAGAAAACCTTTAATGTCACTCATGAATTTCCTTACTGGAGCTGCGTAAAACAAGTGGGGTGGTGTGGCCCTTAGTCTGCCCAAGTTTGGTGCAGCTAGTAACTCGACAGTTTCCACCACAATCAGGGCTTAGGAATGGAGAATCTAACAGACAATCTTCTGTTTGGTGCGTATGTGCGGCTTCGCGTGTCCGATCTTAGACGCCGAGGCAGCTCAATACTACGCGGAGTAAGCGGAAATACTATAGGCCTCTTAGTGCAGGTTGGAGGGCTTCAACTCCGCTTTTACTGGATAATATTCCAGAAACCTTCGTGATGAAGGGAGATTTGCAGGGCGTCCGTCGGTAGATGAAAACGTCCGATGTTACGTAATATCGGCAGTCGACCTTTTCGACGCGGCGACCAAAGCGCGTCAATCCAAACCTGGTACGAAGGATTATCGTTTGAAACACTACATCCTAGATATAAATGATATTTTATTGTATATCTGGAGGCCTGTCCGATTATACATGGTGTCCGACCTTCGATGAGTTACTCTATTAGGCTGCCCTCCTCCTCTCTTTGCCTGTCTGTCTGTCAGTCTGTCTGTTAGCTACTCAACACATCTCACTTCTTCAATGTTCGTTCGTCTCACAAACGATACGACTTACTTAACGGGCAATGAAGGTCAGAAATTTCGAGCGGTTTTATCTGAAAACGCTCCGTTGCAAAGCTAGAGCGGTTCCAGCATTGTACGGCTAATGTGTAGTCGGCCATTTTATCGCTGCGGAAAATGCACATGCGCATTTATTAGCACAGGCTTGGCTCTGTATATCTTGAACTAGGCACAAGAAGTCACAACGATTGTTAATAAGCAGAAACTTAATGTCACTCATGAATTTCCTTACTGGAGCTGCGTAAAACAAGTGGGGTGGTGTGGCCCTTAGTCTGCCCAAGTTTGGTGCAGCTAGTAACTCGACAGTTTCCACCACAATCAGGGCTTAGGAATGGAGAATCTAACAGACAATCTTCTGTTTGGTGCGTATGTTCGGCTTCGCGTGTCCGATCTTAGACGCCGAGGCAGCTCAATACTACGCAGAGTAAGCGGAAATACTATCGTGTGTCAGATCTTAGACGCCGAGGCAGCTCAATATACTAGGCGGAGTAAGCGGAAATACTATAGGCCTCTTAGTGCAGGTTGGAGGCTGCTCTCCTGCAAAGTCAATTATCAGCAAGAGGGATTTTTGTGCCACCTCGACCACACACACCGGTTACATCACCTTGTGGTGAGAGAGTGACTATAAAAGAGAGCTTAGCTATCAGTCGGTATCTGCAGTCAGTGGAACAAAATCTGCTGAAATGTGGACTACACTACTTTTTGCAGGTGCAGCTCTTCTTGCAGCAGTAACATCTCCAGCTGCAAGTAACCCAACCTTTCAAGAGACCGGAGGTTGCGAGGTGATTAATGTCCACTAATGTAGGTGCTGGCACAGACAGCTTTCATCACCGGGTTATCTCAGATTAATTATTCTGCACATCCCACTCCCGGTAGACTTATCCCTTTTACTGTGTTCATTTCGACAGGCAACGCACGAGCATCTGTACAAGTACACTGCCAATGAGGAATACTTCGGAGACGGATATGCTCAAACCTTTGGGATAACCATGTACTTCAAAGTTTACTGCTTATCTGGTATGAATTTGTATGTGATGCAAAAAATGACAGTGATTAAAAAGTGCACTAACTTGCAGTTGGAACGTATGGAGACAAGCGAGCGAAAGAGTACGAGTTAAATGTCACCAAGGCAGAAGGGGCGGAACCGTACTGGACACGGAGGAAACTGAGGAACAACAAGCACAGGACGATTACAATGTCCGACTGCAAGGATGGTTCCACTTTGTTCAGACGGAGGATGGATCAATTCCAATCATTCGTCATTCTAAAGAGGAAGATGGAGAGGTTATCAACACGAAAAAGGCAATTGTTGCAGCGTTCCAGGCAAACTTCATGGGAACAGAACAGAAGGAAGAAGCCGATCCCCAGTCACTGCATACATCTCACTACACGTACGTTTGCGGGCCATAAAATACTAGCCCAAACCAATATGTGCACGCATGCAAAACTTACGCCATTGGCGTATTGGCTATACCCTTTTGCGTCATTCGCTCATTTTGCGCATTTCCCGTGCGGAAAATGGCTAACCCAGATTCAACCACAACCTTGCTCGAATTACTTAGCTAGCGATTAGCTACCCTGAGTGGAAGTTCGTGTATAGCGGAAGCATGGGATGGCCCTTCTCGGCTTCCGTAGGAGTGGCCTGTTTGCCTGTTTTGCGGAGACCTCGCAGAACTAGCAGCGTACGCTAAGATCCACGTAAACGCAAAGGCTAACTCATCCAACAATCCAGGCGATGCAGTACCTCCTATCTGTTCGTCATTTTCTCCAACTCCAGCAGCGCTGCCCGTAGGGCCGACGCGACGCGTTCACGTCACCATCAGCGTGTGTGCACATTGAGTCACTTCCGCCTAAAATATCCAGCGTGAGAATGTCCTGCGGCAAATATTCCCACATCTTGCAGCTACACCCTATTATTACCCAATATAGGTACGAAGTAAGTGCACAGGATGTGGAAAATGGTGTTCTTCAAATGCATCGCACAGTAAATTCGGCGGATATTGGAGCCTACACCTCTCATATACCTGGTGCAGAGGTAGAATTGAGAAAAAAAGAAGACATTACCTACAAAAAGGGAGTCCTCCTTGGTGCAAGTGGAACAGCAACTGTAAAACTCTTCGGAAAGGTATAGTTAACCCTCGGCGGGCATGCGCAGCGAGGGTTACGGTAATTGGTTTGTCTGTCTGTGTCGTGTGTGTGTGTCGACGCTTATTCTGGCACTACAGGCTACGAGGCGGTCCATTAGGGATACCAGAGGCTTCAGGACTACGCGAGCCAGAAAAATAAAAGGGCGATTTTCCTGAAACGTCGAGAGCGACAAACTGGCACGGTCGCGGACCGCGTTGCGTGGTCCATTAGCGGGGCGCATGCGTATATTAGACGCGATCGTATGCTGGCTCACCTCGACCTGATCCGCTTGCTCTGTGTACCTTGGAGGCACAAGAAGCCACAGCTAAGGGTGTGTATCGACTCCCGCATGCTATCTACTACCGTAGCTAGCCCGTGTCAGACTCTCCGCGAGCTACTAGCGGGGTAAACGCTCGGGTAAACTCCAATAGCCAATAAGCGGTACCGCGCATGGGCAGTTCGCCGAGGGTTTGCACTGTAGTAATAATGTGCACGATTTTCCCAGGGAAAAAATGCCACTGCATGAAGAGCCTTGGATTAGTTAGAGTTTCCTCGCAGAGTAGCTTTAAAGTAGAGCAGTGGTTCTACTACAGTAGGCTTAGATTGAAAGTTTAAACGTCCTATAGCTAATCACTTTCAACGTAACGGCCTATGCAAATCTTTACAGAAGGCTAGCGGAGGATCAGATCATTAACACAACTGTGACAATCTTGTAGGTTAGCTGACTAATAAAAAGTGCGCAATGATAAAAGTAACTTTATATGGAAATGTTTACAGAAGACAAGAGAAGGATGTAACCGGTAAAATCACTCAAATCATCAACACAGCAGTGACAATTTTGAAAACTGCATCTAGCATGAGCATTGTGAAGAACATGCAGCAATAAATGTACCTGTACAAGGAGAGGGTTAAGCATTATACTACTGTTTACAAATGGCTAGTTACCAGAGCACCGTGCAGTACACTAAGAATCTAAATGCAGTCGTTGATAATAATCTTAGATATGTACATATTATTCATTCAGGCAAACCTGACTCCAAAAGACGACGTAGAGGACGATAATCTAGAGGCAATGCCAAGAGGGAAGAGACACGATGCAGCAGAAATGGCATCTCCTGGTGACCCTGATGAAATCAAGTCTTTCGATCCAGAAATGAAGACAAATCACTATGAGTCAAAGGGGACATACGTTTGTGACCTAGTGGGTACGCAACGCCGTCTATTGCGTCGGAGAAGAAGTGACGATGGCATCAAACAAGGGGAATATGTGGAAAACTCGCTCTTGGCATTCATAAATAAAAGTAAGTCCATTGGTACTATTAAGCTGCACCAGCATTAAACTGTCCACTGATAAGAATGTATATATAGCTGTAAGTTAAAAGAGTCAAAGCATTAGTAGAATAGTTTGTAGCAGGAAACTGGATAGCATAAAGAATACTCGTGCAGGCTTGCTCCTGATGAATTCCATCTAACAAGTGCAGTTATACCTTAGTCCAAAACTTATATTCTCAGTAAAATTTCATAACAGAAAGCTAAGGTATTAGCATCCTTCAACTCTGCAAGAGAAAATTATTATTATACTGGAATGTGACATACTATTATTAGCTACTGATTCATCACGAGTTTTATGCCCAAATATTTCAGCTCGCAAAGCAATGGAGAAGATGGTTGATTTACGTCATGAACTTGGGGGCGATGTGAAACATTCGTTGAGGGAGCTATACAAAAACACAAACAACACTGAGATTGGTATGACTCTAATGTTACTTTATTTAACCACTGAATGTTTACACAGGATTATTCTAACCCAACAGCGCACAATATTGAAAGTTTGGTGAAGCTAGAAGCAGAGTATGGACCACTACCACAATATTCTCCAGCCATTGATGATGTATTGGATTATCTTAAAGAGGTATATACACATATCCATCATATGCCATTGGCCTTTTGGACTTTATCATTTCTGTCCATGTAGCTTCATGGATCAATTGTCCGTAAGGACATCAAGATGAGGTTACTCCTATACTTCATTATCAGTCCGGAAGGAAGTCTGCGATCGCAAATGGTACGAATTCTAATACATCTGGTGTGGCTTTTAATTTCATTATCTGTATGTATAGGCTCTGCTCGATGCCCTGGAAACTGCAGCCAATGACGATGAATTGGAAGCCATCGTCATGTACATAGCCATGGTGGCTAATCCGCAGCCTCAAATGGTCAATGAACTCGAGAAACTCATAACGTCTGATGTTCACTCCACTGACCCACTCCTCTTGGCTTACGGCGCCATTATTCCCAAACTTCTCAGAACTCCACCAGCGAATGGTTCTCTTCCTCGTCGATCGACTCCCAGAGGCCGAGAGGAATACCACGTCACTCCTTCACCACATTCTCTCTCTCGGAAACTCGGCTCCCCCAGCATCTCCAGCTACCTCATTGACTATCTCAACCACCCCGAGAGCAACGTTCAACTGACAGCCATTCTCGCTATGCGGTTTCTTATGCGGAGCCTTCTGTCCAGAAATCTCTGAAAGACCTACTCGCACAACCACACTGTGAACGAGGACCACCTGACTGTGATAGCCAAGTCTCTGGTGTATGGGTGTGAACGAGCAAAGATTAACTTTGAGGAAGCTCCTTTCTCCAGCGACTTTGCTGAAGCTCTAGTAGCACTAGCTATGAACATCCCCAATGAAGAACTGCACTCAGCTCTTTCCGAATATCTAAAAGGTGTCAACACACCAGAGTCCATCGAACTACTTCAGATCTTAAAGTTTCACCGAAATCCAGATTTTTTCGACGACAAAACAAACACAACGCGCTTCCGAAGAGGATCGACATGGGATGAAAGCAATCCAGACTACAACATTGTTTCACCGCTCTCAGTGCGTCGGAATGACGTTCAAACGTACCAGAATAGACTCGCATTCATCTGGGGTAAAAAGTTTGGCGGATCAGATATAAATGCCCAAGTTGGGGCAGGTGGATTTGTTGGAATAGCCAACAACGGTGACTACAAGCTATTTGGAAATGCCGTAGCTAGAGCTAACTGCTACGATCGCTCACTTACCATCCTGCAGTTTTTGGTCCTGCGTGAGAAGGACTCCAGCTCAACGGAGAGTAGGTTCTACGCCGTCGTAATGGGGAACACTCTGAGGAACATTCGGCTATCACAAGACGCCAGTGTGTGCAAAACTCTCGATCACTCGCTTTACGAAGGAAAAGAGTACACTATTTTCGACTTTACATACAGTATCTTTGTGTATGTTGGCACCCTCAATTTCAACCTCAAGGCAACAGTACAGTTTACGTCTGGGATGTCCATAGAGTTTTGTGAGAACCACGGAAGTTTGAGTGTTGCTGCTGCACTCAAACCTACCCTGACTATAAAGGTTTCGGCCACTGGAGACCTAGAGATTGTAGTAAGTGCTTTACTACTAATACAGTATCTTGTGTGAGCCACAATCAACGATCAACACATGTTTGCCATAAATTAGAGCAATAAAGTGCAAATGCATTGCTGTTGTCCTGAGCATGCATGCACACATCTGAAGAAGTAGGCAAGAAGTAGGACACCGAATTTTTCATTTGTTAGTCTTGATTTATGCACGTTTGCTATATTTAGAACTTGGTATTGATAAATGTACCTTTTTAGTTCGTGGCCAAAGCCGGCCTCACACTGACGGCGACATTCAACTACCAAGTTCTGCCAGAAATCTCTAGCGAGCTGTGCTACAAAGAGTCGCAGATAAGAGTGAAGAACTGCATCGGAATCTACCACCAGTGGGCGGACAATACACTCGAGCTGTATGCGTGGTATGCCTGGAGAGGAAAGTGCGGTTGGTGGGTAAGTCACTCGAAAATTTTCTTAGGTTACTGATACAGTTCTCAGCTTGAAGTGTACGTTGTTACCAACCTTGAACAAGGGCGAAGGATGTTTGGTATATATTATGCTGCACGAACAGAACTTTCACTGTGACCATGCTGTTTCCCATCTTCAGCCCTGCACTGGTAGTGATGCTTACAAGAATAGGATCAAGATAGGTGCTCTTTCTATCTCATGGGATCTTCCCGGAACAGACAAACTGACCCTGTGGGAGACCTGCGACCAGCAATATGAATGCTAAGCACAGAGGGAAAAGACGTGACATTGCGTGACTATTTTAGAAGTAGAAAGACACTCAGGATAGGTTTTGTAGGAGATTTTCTCAATGTTCAACATGATATTGATTATAACACGTCAGCTAAATACTCCAAACACCTACGTTTCACAAGACTTGCACTACACGCCCTCGGGGAGTCGGGCGGATAAACCAGCAACACCACTCCAAAAGGTGTAATAACATTATACATATACACTACTACTATGCAACCAGAATGATGAAATGACCGTCCTTTTGGTATATAGGGTGTATAGGCAGATCATGTATATTGCATAGATAGGGGCCAGATGGCGCATGCGCATGGTACCGCACAATATAGCATGATTGCATACTCCAGGTGCCAGACTGATCTGAGCGGGGGGTGACATAGCCAATCAGATTAACTGAAGGGCTTAGCCAGGGGATGAATTTCAGTAGCAGTGATTGTCAGCAGCGACAGTGATGCAGATCTTTTTCTCCTACCCATCCCACCTCCACGTAAGGTCGCGAGGCCAACGACACCACTGTAAAATAACATACAATTCTGGGTAAAAGCATAATAACGCAGCAGTTAATACTAGTTCAATGTGTTTCGAAGTCTCTTCTTCCCACTCTTTGTGTTATCAACTCCATATCCAGCCTGTAGTGACTCATTTTTGTCTTTCTCTGCCTTTCTCCCCCTGCCATCCTTTCCCAACCTCCTCCCAGAAGATAGTCTCCCACTAGAGCGATGTCGCTGACTTGGTGGGAGGGATTCAAATTCGTTTGCGTTCTGCCCTTCCATTTCATCTGCAGCAGTTGGTGAAGTGGGGTAAGGACTGGGAGAGATTGTGGATCGTGTGCCACCATTTCCACTGTCCTTATCGCTGGATGTAGGCTCGGAGTGTTCGCTAGTATCAGTGGCACTAGCCGGTCGGTAGGTGTTCCCCTGATCCATTCTTCCAGTTTCCCGCATGAAGGACAAGTAGTCACGTACCCCAGATTGTGTCATAGGCCCCTCATCCTTATCACGAAGTAACTCCTCTCGTTCTGGGTCGCTAACAATGGCACGGCGACGGTATCTTCCCTTACTGCAGAAGCGATAAAGATGTTTTAATACAATGACAGATATATAGAGAAGTGGCAGAAGCAACAAAGCATACTGCAGGCTGCAGGCAATGACAGAGGGTTCGGAGCCAATGACGGTCTTACTGTAATTGTACATTGTAAGTGTGTTGATGCCCAACAGAAGCGCAAACATTGCTGCATCAAGTTTGTTGTAAAAACTGTCTTTGTATGGTTGCAGTACCACAAACACTAAAAGGGCAATGGTACAGAAGAACTGAAGAAGGCTATACTGCAAGAACCAATCAGGTGTGAACGCATAAACAGCAAAAAGGGCTACACGAAGAAACAGATAGAATCCTGCACACCAGCGGTAGTCAAATTCGACAGATTTTCTTGAAGAATTTGTGCCATTTCTGTAGCAACCATGGAAGGCTTCGAGAAATGCATCCAATTTTGGCCAGTTTCTAATGGTGCATTGATCAATAGCCGGAATGACTTTATCTAATTTTGGCCATCTCTTACGAATGATATTAAGATTCCGTGCAAGTGGTGGAATTATCAAAAGGAGCGGGGTAATAAGCACTAAACTGAACAGGATCAGAAAGGAGAGTACAACAAATGGTATGTGCCTTCTACTAAAGAAGGGAATTGTTCCATCATAAAACACAACTCCATATGGTGGTCCAAATGGACTTCCATCGTCAGCAACAAAAAGTGTGGTAGTCAACAGCAAAAAGGACACGAGAACAAACCGACTGTAGGATAGGAGAATAAAGGAAGCAAAAGTGTGGATCAAAGAGCGCTGAATGTTCCAGCATTGCTGAAAACGAGCCAGCAAATGTGAAATGGTCGACAAATGCACAAAATGCATCTAAAACCTCTTTCATACAGCCAGACAAAGAGAGACACTATCCCAATCAGTACCAATGGGTAGGCTGCCTCAAGATACGCAACAGAAATAGTCTCTAGACTACTGAGGTGGGGACTGAGGCAGATTTGGTGAGTAAAGAACTGAAGATTCCAAATACCGTACAGAAAATAATACACATTGACCAGGCTATTGTTGGCATGTCTAAAAGTGATAGTACCACCACCATTCAGTGTAAAGACGTCTGGTAATACCTGTGCAAAGAAGATGAATGCATTTGCTGGGGCTGAGGTTACACGGATGTCTAAGACTATAACCAAGACAAAGAGAAGAGTCAGAGGAAGATACTGGGAGAGTAGATATAAAGCCCACATGTAGTCAGCATCACAACGTACGCACTCCCGTGTTTGAACAGATGGACCAAAACCATCAGCACACTTCCCGCACAATGTTCCAGTCCTGTTAACTTCTCCACAGAGTGTTAGTGTTTTATCCAATTCATCCGTTCTCCGTGGAAGTTTAATGAAAAGATTGTTTGAAGTAGAGTCAAAGTAAGGGGTGCTACTAGCAACCACTTTTGAAACATTATGATAAGTGTACAAGCCAATCCAGTTTCCCCGCTGAATTTTGGTGTGGAAATCAATTGCATTGCATTCAAGTATTCCGTTAAAACTACCCCTGCACTGACAAGAAGGTTCATCACCCACTGTTACCATTCCCGGGGGACATGGGAAAACAGTGACATTCATTATGACATGAACTACCCGTGGATCGATTGTTTCCAGTAGAATTTTTCCGTTGTTCTCACGGCCATTCCTTGTATGCAGCTCAATGTGGTTGTCAGAAATGTACTTGGTGCTGGAGTCAACTTCTATTGTGCCTTCTGAAAGGGACTTGGCAAGAAAAACACTTGAGCCTGTCACATCAGTCCTGCGGTCGTCCAACATTTTTAGATGCATTGAGCGGCGCTCTCCGGGAAACGTATCAATTGTAAAGTTATTCATTGACTCAAATACGGCCGGTGATGTACGAATTTCCATAGTGCAGTTCCCATCACCATAATCCCAATTTTTCGACCAACAGAAAACTTTTGAGAAATCATCAGATGCATTTCCAAAGGAGCCTCCCCACTGGCAAATTAGGAGAGAAGTTGCAAAGATGGATTCATTGCGTTTATTTGCGCGGTTTCCTGAGAAGAAAAAGGACGAGTTCCATTGATCCGGTGTGACAGAGATGTTGAAATATCTAATGAAGCAGTTTCTTGAGTTAATGAGATCATGCTCACCGATTGAAGTTTCATAGATTGCTCCACCTGCAATCAATGCTGAGTTATTGACAAACACCAGTTTACTCAGAGGATGTGTTTCAATGAATGCTGCACCAAGTAATGCGATGGCTCCACCATGTCGACCCATGTTCTTTCTGAAAGTTACGGATGATTTTGTCATGATATGGATTCCGGTTGAGATGGCAGCAAGCGCAGAGTGGGTATTATTCAGAAAAAAATTGTAACCCATGAAATACACAGGGATGGAATCGATGTAGAGCGCACCAATTCCGACAACTGTGCTCTGTTCCGTTGTGTACACACCACAGTTTTTCTTAAAAGTACAACTGGTGAAATAGACTCTAGCAGTGGCCCCATATGGAACAGAGTGCCATACTGACAAATCAGCTCCAGAACCAGCTCTTGCAATATTCTCTTCCCATGTCGTGTTGTGAAAAACCAGAGAATTAGTAGGGCTGCTCTCAGTAGGCTCTCTTGCTGCATAAAACGAGAGTCCGCCTCCAAAATAGGCAGAGTTACGAGAAAAGTGGCAATTCTCAAAAACAATGGAGTTTGATTTCACATGTGTGTCATTAAAGAAAAGATACCCAATTCTAGTACCGCCACCACCTGTCCCCTGACTACTACTTTCTTTGAACAAACACTCATTTCCTGATAAGGCCGAGTTGCTTACAGAGACACTATTGTTATTACTCCAATCCTGCATCTCCACAAACAGCCCAGCTCCCCATAAGGCAGTGTTGTTTGAAAATTCACAGTTTTCAATAATATTCACAGAGTTGTTTGTTGCATTTCCTTTAAAAAACATTGACAACCCGCCCCCTCTGCCAAATGCCAGATGGTTCCATTTCTGCGGCAGAATATATGTGAATTGAGTTTCGTCTGCTACACTTGCAAGGTTATCAGAGAAGAGGCAATGAGATATGATGTAGGTTGAGTCTCTTGTGTAATCATCAGGAATATTAGAGGGGCATGGCTGCGTGTTAGGACAACCACAGCCAGTCATCACAAAATTCTCTAGTTTATTCCATACGATTTGCTAAAGGAGAGCCCAGCACCTTTCTCCATTCAATCTCGTACACCAACTAGGTCCAGCAGTGACTGCACGTTCCAGTGATAGAAAACCTCCAGTTCTCTCTTTATCACAGTCAGCCGTGAGTCATGGTCAAGGTGTAATTCCCTTCACGGACATCAGCAGACACTGGTGTTGTCAGGGAGAAGATGTTCTGGACCCACTCAGAGCAAGAGTGAGGGTTGTTTGCAGGCGCTCCCTGAGCTACTGGGACAACACGTTGATGTTAGAGAGATGCCATGTGTTCATCTACATTGATAAACAGTTCCAGATACCCGAACTGGCGAGACAGAACAGCAGCCAGTATGAGCTTTAATAGCACCCACATATACTCGGGCTCAAATTCTCTCTCTCTTCTCTCAGTGTCCGCAGCAACACCAATAACTTGTTAGTGAGAAAAATGGAGTTGTGCAAGTACACAACAATATTCATTGCGCGTTTCTAGTCTGCATGCTCAGCAGATACTCAGTAAATATTATCGTAAAGCGTTAGAAAGAATGATAATGAAAGTTGGGGGGATGCAGAATGGGGGTAATAGTGCACAAACATCCTTGCTACTAGGGAATTCCCCCTTCTAACTGGAAAAGACAATTTTTCACATGACTTCCCACAACCTCAGCATATTAGCACAGGCCCACTTATACACAAATCTGTGCTCTCCATGCTTTCACTCAGGAAGGCACGGCTTTGCAAGGCTCTGCTGCTAAGTGCAATGACAGCAGACAAGGACCTGGCATGTGGGCTCTAGTCATGGACACGTGGTTAAACTTGCATTAGCAATCGGGCACGAAAGCGTGTTTCAGTCATACGTACATCCACGTGAGCCTATAGCTACACCCGTGTGTCTAAAACGCACAAACGTCTACCCTGGGCTAGGAAACTGGAGCCTCCTTGGATGAATGGAAAAAAAACGGGTTCACCTACGCAGCTTTCCTCCCTGCCCTCTTTCTACATTACTACAAAAACACCACAAAGTACGCACACACGGGATAGAACCTGTCTCGTCCGCCGATGGCGAGAATAGTCTACGGAGCGTATAGACTGTGCAGCCCCGTCCGTATAGGACTCAGCATACTGTTTTACCGCCAAAAACCGACAACTTGTTGTCCTTTTACAACATTAAAAAACTCCACAATGACTGTAAATACCTTTCACTTGTTTTCCCTGGCTGTGTCTATATCTGTCGTACGCGGATGATCCCTTTGCATTTGCGCATGCGCACATAGATACCCCCGCCCCCCCACTACATATGGTGTTCTTTCTATCTCATGCTTCTTCCTGGAACAGACCAAACTGACACTATGTATCAAGGTCCGTTTAGAAGGGTGGCCGCAAAGCCGGCCTCACACTGACGGCGACATCAACTACAAGAGTCTGCAGAAGAGTCCAGCGAGCTGTGCTACAAAGAGTCACAGATAAGAGTGACGAACTGCATCTATTTCAATGGGAGTCTACCACCAGAGGGGCGGACAATACACTCGAGCTGTACGAGTGGTATGCCTGCGGAGAGGATGGTGCGGTTGGTGCGTAAGTCACTCAACAGAACAATTCGGTTACTGTGATACGATTTTAACTGAAGTGTACAGCGAGGGGTACATACTATTGGACAAGGAATGAAGTATAGGTTTTGCCTAGTATTATAAGATGCATTCTGAGAGCAATTTTATTTACATGGAGCTGATACGGAGAGGCTTTGTAACTTGAAGTGCGAGAGCTTGGATAAGTTAATGTAGGTGAATACTAATTATACAAACTGCAAATTACTGTGACTATGCTGTGCTCATGGCTTCCGAGAACATGCACTGTTGGGCCCATTTTGTTCCCATTTTCAGGCCTGCACTAGGGTACGCGGGATGAACCTTTTGCATTTGCGCATGCGCACATAGATACCCCCGCCCCACTATACATATGGTGTTCTTTCTATCTTGGGATCTTCCCGGAACAGACAAACTGACACTGCGACCAGCAATATGAATGCTAAGCACAAAGGGAAAAGACATGACAGTGCGTGACTATTTTAGAAGTAGAAAGACACTCAGGATAGGTTTTGTAGGAGATTTTCTTAATACTCAACATGATATTGATTATAACACGTCAGCTAAATACTCCAAACACCTACGAAAACTTGCAATATCAAATCACACTACTACTATGCAACCAGAATGATGAAATGACCCTCCTTTTGGTAGGGTGTAGGCACATCATGTATATTGCGTAGATAGGGGCCAGATGGCACATGCGCACATAGCATGATTGCACACTCCAGGTGCCAGACTGATCTGAGATAGGGGGTGGCATAGCCAATCAGATTAACGGAAGGACTTTGCAATGCCAATGGATGAATATCAGTACCAGTGATTGTTAGTAGCGACAGTGATGCAGAACCTTTTCTCCTATATACCCACCCACCTCCACATAAGGTCAACGACACCACTGTAAAATAACATACATTTATAATTCCGGGTAAAACCAAATAAAGCAGCAGTTAATATTAGTTCAATGTGTTTCGAAATCTCTTCTTCCCACTCTTTGCACTATCAACTCCATATCCAGCCTGTAGTGACCCATGTTTGTCTTTCTCTGCCTTTCTCCCCCTGCCATCCTTTCCCAACCTCCTCCCAGAAGATAGTCTCCCACTAGAGCAACGTCGCTGACTTGGTGGGAGGGATTCAAATTCGTCTGCGTTCTGCCTGTCCATTTCATCTGCAGCAGTTGGTGAAGTGGGGTAGGGACTGGGAGAGATTGTGGACCGTGTGCCACCATTTCCACTGTCCTTATCGCTGGATGTAGGCTCGGAGTGTTCGCTAGTATCAGTGGCACTAGCTGGTCGGTAGGTGTTCCCCTGATCCAGTCTTCCAGTTTCCCGCATGAAGGACAGGTAGTCACGTGCCCCAGATTTTGTCATAGGCCCCTCATCCTCATCACGAAGTAACTCCTCTTGTTCTGGGTCGCTAACAATAGTACGGCGACAGTATCTCCTTTTTGTGCAATAGCGATAAAATTGTCTCAACACAACCACAGAGATATAGATGAGAGGCAGAAGCACCAAAGCGTACTGCAGGCAGAAAGCAAAACTTGATGATCGAGAACTTATCACAGTCATGCTGTAGTTGAACATTGTGAGTGTGTTGATGCTCAAGAGAAGCGCAAACATTGTAGCATCCAGTTTGTTGTAGAACCTTTTCTTGTACGGTTGGAGGACCACAAACACGAGAAGAGCAGCAGTGCAAAAAAGTTGGAGAAACGGGTACTGCACAAATAAATTGGGGGTGAAGGCAAACACAGCAAACAGGGCAACACGAAGAACGAGGTAGAAGCCAGCAACCCAGCGGTAATCAAATTCAGTAGAGTTTCTTGCGGTGTTTGTTCCGTCCCTGTAGCATCCGTGGAAGGTCTCAAGAAACACATTGAGCTTTGGCCAGTGCTGGATGGTGCATTGATTGACATTTGGAAGTAATCGGTTCAATCTCGGCCACCTGTTACGAATGATGCCGAGATTCCTAGCAAGGGATGGAACTATCAATAGAAGTGGAGTTACAAGAACAAAGCTCAGGAAGACAAGCAGGGAGAGAATGACAAACGGTGCATGTTCTACACTAAGATATTCAATGTTTCCGTCATAGAACATGACTCCAAATGGTGGTCCAAACGGTTTTTTATCATCTCTGATAAGTTGTGCTGTAGTTAGTAGTTTAAATGATACCTGGATAAACCGACTGTACGAGAGAAGGATGAAAGTAGCAAAAGCGTGTATCAGGGAGCGCTCGATATTCCAATGATGTTGGAAGCGTGCAAGAAGGATATGAAATGGTCGACATAAGCATACGATGCAACGGTAACCCCTTTCATACAGCCAGACAAAGAGAGCCACTATCCCAATCAGTGCTAATGGGTAGGCTGCTTCGAGGTAAGTGATGGAAATGGCAGCCAAACTGCTTACATCCGGACTGAGGCAGATATTGAGTGTGAAGAACTGGAGATTCCAGATGTTATATAGAAAAGAATAAAACTTGACCAAGTGTCCGCTTGTGTATGACAGAATGATAGCACCGCCACCATCCAGTGTGAAGACAGTTGGTAAGACCTGGGCAAAGAAGATGAATGCATTAGCCGGTGCTGAAGTCACACGGATGTCTAAAACTATAACTAGGACAAAGAGAAGAGTCAGAGGGAGGAATTGGGAGAGTAGGTACAAAGCCCACATGTAGTCAGCATCACAACGTATGCACTCTAATGTGTGAATGGTAGGACCGTAACCATCCATACACTTTCCACATAGAGTCCCATTCCTCTTGATTCTCTCACAGAGAAATTTGTTCAAATCTTTCGTCTTCCTCGGAAGCTCAATAAACGAATCACTTGCGGCAGTGTCAAAATATGGAGTGCTCCCAGCAACTACATGCCGGTGATGGTACACACCAATCCAATTCCCTCTTTCTATTTTTGTTCGGAAACCAGTAGCATTGCATTCTAACTTTCCATCAAAAGTACCTCCACACTGACAAGAAGCTGAGTTACTGCCCCCGACTAAAACCATTCCTGGGGGACAAGGAAAAACAGTGACGTTCAATACAACTTGAATCACCCGTGGGTCGATTGTCTCTAGTAGAAAAAGCCCACTTGTTTCTGTGTCGTCTCTAGCATTGCTTGTATGTACCTCAATGTGATTGTCTGAAATGTACTGGCTACTAGAATCCAACTGTATGCTTGTTGAGAGAGACTTTGCCAAAAAAACACTTGAACTAGTCACGTCACTACCATGGTCATCAATCATTGTGAAATTCATATTATGCCTTTCTCCTGGATATGTCTTGATCTTATAGTTGGACGCGGTACTGAATTTAGCTGGTGAAGTGCGAACTTCTGTAGTGCAGTTGCCACCATCATAATTCCAATTCTTGTCAGACCAACAGAACACTTGCGAAAAGTTGTCAGATGTATTTCCATAGGCACCACCCCATTGGCATATCAGGAGAGAAGATGCAAATATTGACTCGTTGCGTTCATGGGCACGGTTTCCTGAGAAGAAAAAGGACGAGTTCCATTGATCCGGTGTGACAGAGATGTTGAAATATCTAATGAAGCAGTTTCTCGAGTTAATGAGATCATGCTCACCGATTGAAGTTTCATAGATTGCTCCACCTGCAATCAACGCTGAGTTATTGACAAACACCAGTTTACTCAGAGGATGTGTTTCAATGAATGCTGCACCAAGTAATGCGATGGCTCCACCATGTCGACCCATGTTATTTGTAAACGTTATGGATGAGTTGGTCATAGCATGAATTCCTGTCGATATTGCAGCAAGAGCAGAGTGATCGTTCCCCAGGAAAAAATTGTCACCAGTGAAATAAACAGGGATCGAGTCAACATACAGAGCACCTATTCCAACAATTTTGCTCTGGTTTCTTGTGTAACAACCAGTGTTTCTCAATAAGGAACAGTTCTTAAAAACGACTCTGACGGTGCTTCCATATGGTTCGGAGTGCCATACTGATAAATCGACTGCAGAACCAGCTCTTGCAATATTCTCTTCCCATGTCGTGTTGTGAAAAGCCAGAGAATTAGTAGGGCTGCTCTCAGTAGGCTCTCTTGCTGCGTAAAACGAGAGTCCGCCTCCAAAATAGGCAGAGTTACGAAAAAAGTGGCAATTCTCAAAAACAATAGAGTTTGATTTCACATGAGTGTCATTAAAGAAAAGATACCCAATTCTAGTACCACCACCACCTGTCCCCTGACTACTACTCTCTTTGAACAAACACTCATTTCCCGATAAGGTCGAGTTGCTTACAGAGACACTATTGTTACTACTCCAATCCTGCATCTCCACAAACAGCCCAGCTCCCCATAAGGCACTATTGTTTGTAAAATTGCTGCTTTCAACATTTATAGTGTTGTTGGTTGCACATCCTTTAAAAAACAGTGACAGACCACCACCTCGGCCAAATGCTATGTGGTTTGATTTCTGTGGAAGAATATATGTGTACTGATGTGTATCTTGTACACTTGCAAAGTTATCAGAGAAGAGGCAGTCAGATATGGTGTAGGTTGAATCTCTTGTGTAATCATCAGGAATATTAGGGGGGCCATTGAAGCAAGAGGTGTTGCCGGGATAGCAATAGGCAAACTCTATGTACACACCACCACCTCCACTGGTCTCTGCACCTCCACTGATAGTCTCTGAGTCATTCAATGTAAGGGGTTTGTTTGAGGTAAAGTTTGAGTTTGTGATTGTGTTGACGCCAACTGTGCTGTACATAACCACACCAGTTCCTTCAGTCTCATTTACTGTGACATTGGAGATGGTGACTGTACGACAGAGAAGGAAATAGAGAGCACTTGTGACCTCCTGGAAGCAGGGGTGATCGCCTTTGCTTGTGCTGTAGTTACGAAAACCACAGCCAGTGATCTCCAAATTCTGTAGTATTATTCCATCAGACTTGATAAAGGAGAGCCCAGCACCTTTCTCACAATCAATCTTTACACAACTAGGTCCAGCAGTGCTGCAGTTCCCAGTGATAGCGAAACCTCCAGTTCTCTCTTCTATCACAGTCAGCCGTGAGTCATTGGTCAACGTGTAATTCCCTTCACTGACAATCAGAGACACTGGTGTTGTCAGGGAGATGTTCTGGACACACTCCAGAGCAAGAGTGAGGGTTTTGCAGGAACTTGCAGCGCTCCCTGAGCTACTGGGACAACAGCTGATGTTAGAGATGCCATGTTGTTCATCTACATTGATATCAGTTCCAGCTACCAGCTGGGAGATCAGAACAGCAGTCAGTATGAGCTTTAACATCACCCACATTATACTCTGTGGCTTTCAAATTTCTCTCTCTCTTTCTCTCTCAGTGTCTGCAGCAACACCAATAACTGTTAGTGAGAAAATGTAGTTGTGCACTAAAGTACACCAACAATATTCATTGCGCGCTTCTAGTCCGCATGCTCAGCAGATACTCAGTAAATATTATCGTAAAGCGTTAGAATGAAAGTTGGGGGGATGCAGAATGGGGCACAAACATCCTTGCTACTAGGGAATTCCCCCTTCTAACTGGAGAAGACAAATTTGCAAGACTTCCCACAACCTCAGCATAATTATTAGCACAGGCCCGCTTACAGATGTGTGCTTTCCATGCTTCCACTCAGGAAGGCACGGCTCAGCTGCTAAGTGCAATGACAGCAGACAGGACCTGGCATGTGGACACGTTGGTTAAACTTGCATAGCAATCGGGCACGAAAGCGTGTTTCAGTCATACATCCACGTGAGCCTATAGCTACACCCGTGTGTCTAAAACACTGTGTGAAACACAAACGTCTACCCTGGGCTAAACTCACAGTGGATGAATGAGAAAAAAAACGGGTTCACCTACGCAGCTTTCCTCCCTGCCCTCTTTCTACATTACTACAAAAACACCACAAAGTACGCACACACGGATGAGAACTTGTCTCGCCCGCCATAGCGAGAATAGATGAGAGCTAGACACCTCACGTATCTAGACCGGTGCCCCGCCTATCAACTTTTTACCGCCAAAAACCGACCACTTGTTGTCCTTTTACAACATTAAAAAACTCACACAATTACCGTAAATACCTTTCACTTGTTTCCCACTCTGTTTCCCGGGCTGTGTCTATATATCTGCACCTGATTTCCCTTAGGCCGGCCCTAGCCTATTGTTGATCCTTTGCATTTGCGCATGCGCACATAGCCCCCGCCCCCCATAATACAGATGCGTGTCTTCATCATAAATATCCAGCGATCATGACGGCGAGACTTCTCAAGCAGATCCAGCGGGCCAAGTCCGCCGAAGTGAGTGACAAGACGCCCCAATATCAATGATATCTTGTCTTTGGTTCCCCCGCCTACGGCTTTACCCTGGCGGCTCTGCGGCGTGCACGTTAGCCAGCTATAATACCTACTTTCGCCATAAACAATCATATTTTTAAAAAAAACTACATACTATGTTGATTTGGTAGGGAAAATCCGGTATGTGATCTATTCTTCGTAGAGAGCAGTCGAGCAGTTCATCTCTGTGTTTTGTTTCTGGGAGAATTCCCAGGGTAGTCCCCCTGTGTGTTGGTGAGCACAAAGAAATAGGACTGTATATTCCAATCAGCATGATCATCTACAGTAACTTTCCTTTGCAATATCTTTGTTGTGGGGAAGGACTGGTTTTTCACTGCAGGATAACAAATCAATGATACCTTGTCTTTCCCCCGCATACGGCTTTACCCCCTTCGGGCGTGTCTGAGGCGTTGCGTTAGGCCCGTAGCTACCTAGCTATAAATGTACCTAACTCTCATCGTAGTTTTTGTTATAAACTGCAACTATCGTTGATTTGGTAGGGAAAAATCCGGTGTGGTAGATCTATTCTTCGTATGAGAGCAGTCGAGCAGTTCATCTCTGTGTTTTTGTTTCTGGGAGAATTCCCAGGGTAGTCACCCCCCCCCCTGTGTATTTGGGCTGAGCACAATATCAGCATGATCATCTACAGTAACTTTCCTTCGCAATATCTTTGTTGTGGGGAAGGACTGGTTTTCACTGCAGGAAACGATTATTTGTTAATGATAAAAGAATCAACTCTTGTTGCAGAAAGTCCAGAAGTTTCTAAAGGAGCTGCCAGACCACAATGAGGCCAATGAAAATGGAGACACTCTGCTGCATGCATTTGTTCGACGGAGAGATAAGTACAGTCAGGATTGCTTGTGGCTCTCCTGGTCTACGGACAGTGTGACGTGGACGGGGGTAATCACCAGGGGGTTACCCCTCTCCACATTGCTGCAGAGGTCTGCATAGCTACACCTCATTTCTATAGCATTGTTTGGTTAAAGTGTGCATTGCCTGGTCAAGTGTGCATTGCTTGGTCAAATGTGCATGAAGCACATGGCTACAGTTACTCACATGGGTTTACTCACATGATCCTCTGTCATATCAGGTTACACATTCGTTCCTCCCTGTACATGCACTTATGGAGTTGCTAATGGTGCACTTTCCAGGTTTTACTTGAAAGGCTTTATTAGCTGCATTACCATGTTGCAGTAGCCTTGATCACAGACCTTGTCTGCTTTTTCTATGTTGACTCTGTGCGTATGTCTTTTCTACACACCCCATATACCCACAGTTGAATGACCTGCCAGCAGCCAAAGCACTGGTGGCCTTTGGTTGCGAGGTAAACAGTCTGAATCCGGACGACGAGACTCCTCTGGACATAGCCAGACGCTGCTATCCTGATGGAGACATTGTCACTCTTCTCGTCAGTGTCGGAGGACAAACCGGTCAGTGAAATTCTCTGGAGACTTTGATCGATTTCAGAGAATGACAGTAGATACTCGTAGTCCGTGTCTCACTAGTGGTGGATTGCTCTGGCGTAGTAACAGTATCTTTTTTCAAGCATATCAGCTTTAGTACTTTAACGGATAAGCTACATGATACAATCGCATACATGAATTCCTAATAGGGGTGAGATAAGGATAGGTGCAGCAACATAGCACCCTTTTTTAAAGGAGGATAGCGAAATTTTGGGGGAGATAGGGATAGGTGCAGCAAGATAGAAGATGTTACCATTTGTACGTTTGTTCTATATATTATCCTGCCAAGAATGTATTGGCATTGCACAGCAGTTGATGGTACTATAAGTATGCTATGCCCCCTCTATCATTTGGCATGTGTTTATGTTTATATATCAGGTGAAGCAGTCACAAGAGGTCTCTACTTTCTGAACCCACTACGGTGAGTAGAGGAAAGTGAAAAAAGAGAGTATAGCGGATGGTGGGGGGTAGAGAAGTAGGTTGGAGATATATTTAAAAGGAAAGGGCGGAAGAGAAAGAGAGTAGAGACAGAGCAAAGATAGAAAGAAGGTGTGTGTGGGGGGGGAGTGTGATAGAGGGGAATTGAAGTTTCTCGATGGCCACAGATTCACCGAGAGTTGTGAAGGTCCCTGGAGTCCCGATGGTGTTGTCATCAAGAGAAACTACACTGACTTTGGTAATGTACAAATTTATAGTCGATGATTGTCGGTCTTCTTATTTTTATTGTAAGCCTTGCCTCGGCACAGTGTAATTTATGTCCATTGTGTGTTCCTTTTTTTTAATTATACGTGTGTAAAACGTTACGTGCAGGTAGAACACCTCCTACACCAGCCCAGATAGAGGAGCATATCCGGAGAAATCTCAGTGATCCTACTGCGGACGATGTGGATGACAGTACTCCAAAACACTCCAGGTAATCACCAAACATGCACTTAGCCATCTTTTTGGGGTTAATGTTATATAGCTTGTTGCCAGGGGTTAAAAGTTGGTCCTTGAACATTAAGAAGAAACAAATTGCGAGAGTGTTCATATCTAATAGCCTATAGGCCATTTCAGCCGTTGACAAACGTTGAAGAACCTTGTCATGAAGATGATAGCTCGTTCTTGTTTCCTCTCTCAGTGAGTCCAATGGCACTGATGGAGATACACACTGGGATTATAGGTATGTGACACAACTTTCTCCAGTTCCTGTAGTCATTCATATTTACCCTCGGCAGTGAGGAAGTTCCTGATCGTTTCAACACTCCTGAAGACAGTATTGTTCAGGGAATTACCCTTCAGCATAGCATCATGGCCAGCAGAAAGTTTAAGGTGAATTGACACAATTTCATCACAGTTACAGTTACTACTGCCCGAATATCTTCATTGGTGTCCTTTAAACACTCAAAAAGTACAGTCATAATAAAATAGTGTGCAGTAAGTTTATTGTGTGATGTAGGGAACTCCCATTACAACACGGCGCTCCCTGAGCCTCACATTTGACGAGGATGAACACCAATCAGACGAATCACATGACCAGCCAGATGGATCACATGATCAGCACAATGGATCACATGACCGGCACAATACGTCACGTCTCCCACCGGAAAGTCCAGTGCCTTGCTCAAAAAAAGCATCACAGAATACACCAGTCACTGTTCTTCTGAATGGACATCCTGTTGATCAAGACATAGGAGCTGTACAGGAAGACTGTGGTAAAAGGGGGAGTGAGGGAGGGGGAGAGAGGGAAGGTAGAAATAGGGACGGAAGAGAAGAAGATAGGGAAGGGGACAGCCTTCTTAGTCCTGGAGATGTGTTCTCTCCTACTCCACTCGAGGTGCAGTCACTCAGAACACTGGAGCTTATGGCTAGTGGAAGCGTGAGAGGTGAGAGGTACGCAAGTAGAAAATACCGTTGTATATGTAGATGAACACTAGGGGAAGCCAGAGGGTGTTTGTTTTTAAAACCCACACTACCAATGCCAGAGCCTCCATAAGTCAATAAGAATTTATAAAGGGGTTATAATACTAGGCGCTAATACTTTATACATCAATTTATACAAAAATTAATCTGTTGGTAAACTAAGAGAGTTAGTTATGTGCCCATGGATATAAATAGTGCACAGGGGATACCTAACAGTGCTGGTTATGTAACTCTGTATAATTGGACACAGCGAAGGGCTACTCTGTGTGGCAGGGTTACAGAGACAAGCGGAGGCTGGAGGAGAGTGACAACCAAGTCCTCGGGTCGATAGGAAACTGCCTGAGAGCCAAGAGCATTCATGAACGTTGGACCGAGGAGGGGGAGAGGAGAGGAAGAGATGGGGAGAGAGGAGGAGAAAGAAGGGGTAATGTCGGAGGTCAACAGAGTGATGATGAAGGTGCAAGGCAGACAGGGGGGAGAGAGGACGGATCTGAGCCCGAAGCATTCAAAGTCAAGCCAGGTCTGCCTTATAGTTAGCTTCATATAATAAATTTTATTGTGCTACAAAACCCTCATGATGCAGTAAATGTTAACTTTTGTTTCAAAGTTTTTTTTGACTTTTTTAAGGTCCCCATTTCACTAGAATGCTGTCTCATTGACTGCGTTTTAACTGCCAATAGTTAAGGCTTTTACTATCCCTTCCCCATCATGCCTACTTTCCTCCTTTGCATTCTCTATTCCTCTTCCTTCCTTCTTCCCCCTTCTCCTCCTCCATTTTGTTTCCTACATATCTCAGGTGACAAAGTGCTCTGTCTGGACGGAGGGGGGATAAGAGGTCTTGTTCAACTGGAGATACTGCGGGAAATTGAGGAGTTGACTCATCGCAGAATTGTCGATCTCTTCGACTGGATAGTGGGCACCTCAACTGGTGGTATACTTGCCCTGGGAATGGTCTATGGTGAGCATATTCACTTGTGGGAGTCTCCAAAGTACTACTGTGCCTCTAGTGACCTGGCTGTGTATAGCTAGAGATATTCCCAATGCAATAGCTTTTGCCTAAGTCAGGTCAGTGTGCATTGTCGACTCAAGCTAAAATTTCACCCATAAAATAAAGAGCATCTAAGGTTAAAAACGTCCGTAGATCAATCTGTAATGTACACTGATAAACATTGTTTACTTCTGCCTTTTTCAGCCGACATGACGTGTCGTCAGTTGCACCAGCTCTACTTTGAGATGAAGGAGAGAGTGTTCAAGAACCCGTGGCTGGGTCTGATCTGTCACACCCAGGAACTGGAGGCCATTCTCAAGGAGAGGCTTGGAGAAGACACAAAGATGACCAGCCTCCCAAAGAAACCAAAGTGAGGAGATAGCTACACAAACAATTTTTGTCCTAAATCTTCCCAAAAAGATAGAGTTCAAATTTTCCCTGTTATGACTTCACTAGAAAACAATATTTTGTGAAATGCAAACAGTAATATCGCAATCTTCATGTTCCCTGCCTCCCTCTCTCTTCTTTTATTCCTAACCCTTCTCTCTCTCTCTCTCCGTTCGTTCCCCCATCTCTCCCCTATTCTCAGGGTGCTGGTGTGTGCGGTCAACAAAGCCACAACCCACATGCAACTAACCTTCTTCAACAACTGTTTCAATGACGCTTTCTCGAACTGTAAGCAGCTCTCTCACAGAAATGTTGCGACTGGTGCCGTAAGAGCTTTTATGGCTGGGAACAGAGGGATGGTTGTGGGGGCCAGTGTAGTAGTTGAGGTGTGTCTGGGATTTAAGACATATGCCACAATCTCGTTCACTGATTTGGAGTTCTCGCCAGACCTTCTCTCATGCACATGCGCAGTACACATGATAATAATAATTATGCATGACAATAAAGGGTGTTGCATGACAGTGCATAAGTCTATGATGACAAGTAAGTAAGGTTGTACAGTGTATGATTCACACACATTCACTGCACATTGCTCTGGGTTAGTGGCCCTAGGCTATATATATTGTGTCAATTCTATTTTGTGCAGTATAAGTCATGCACTGAAGAGCTAGTGTGATCAGTAACTGTACTAAGCAAGTGCAACTCTTCTGTCTGCCCTCTTCCAGACCCAGTGTGGAAGGTGGGCAGATACACTGCGGCTGCCCCGCTGTACTTCACTGAGTGTGATTACTATGTCGATGGAGGGGTTCTTGCCAATAATCCCTGCAGTGGTGCCCTCACCAGAATACAGGTGGATTTTCGAATACCTATATAATTATAGCTACACTCTTTTTACCTCTGAGCTGTTATATAAGAAAGCATAATAGGCTAGCTACACCTTGGTGGGGAAAGTGTAGTGTCAGTAACGAAGCAAGAAAACCTTTTGTGACTTGTGTTTTAATAATGAGAGTGTACTTTTAATCCCACCTGAATTTCAATCGCAATCAAAAGTAAGGGTATATAGCCGGTAGCGTAAATCTTGAAAGAGTTGGACAGACCGTGGGTATGTTACATAATATCATCTACACAATGTTTAGGACTATCATAAGGAGAAGGGAGGTCAGCTGTCACTGGTGGTATCAGTGGGGTGTGGTCAGTACCCAGCAGTCCCTCTGGGGGACACCAGCATTCATTCTGGGGTCTTGAACATGATGGGGAACATCGGGAAACTCAGGAACATCCGACAACTCTTTATCACAGCTGTAAGCATTAATAGCTGGCCCCTTTTGGTTTTCAATTTCTTCCTCTACTTTCCTTGGCCCCCTCTCCCCCTCTCCTGCCTCCCCCTTTCTTGCTCGTCACTCACACTCCCTTTGACCTTTGCGCCTGCTAATCATTTGCATCTCTCTCCCAACCATTCTTCACAGCTGACAGGGTGCTCTGAAGCCGTGTCAGACAACTGCAGGTGCCGATGTGAGCAGCAACACCCTCCCATACAGTACTTCAGGTACAATAGTATGTAGCTATCAAGTATAATAATGAAAGCGCTTAAGGTTTACACTAGCAGGTAGCTCTATACCATCATAAGTATACGATCATAAGAGCAGTATAGTGGTGTAATAATGTGAAACAGTGTATTCTTCAAAGGACATGCTAACCATTGAGGATAAAAGAGCAAGGAAAGAAGTGTATAAAATTGCACGTGCTCAAGGAGATCTAATTGTCAGGACCTGAGGATTTATGGCAATCATTGCTAGGATGCTTTATACTCGCCCAACAGATCGTGCGAACAAACTCAATTCTGTAGATGCGGCTCTAAGTGTTTAGATTTCTCGTTCTCTCCCTGCTAGATTCAACCCCAGTCTCCCGGAGGCAATAGAATCCATAGAGACCAATGGAGTCAAGCTCTGTGACCTGGTAGTCAATGCCAAACAACTGCTGGAAAACAACGACCTGAAACTAGACCTTCTCATTCAGCACTTTTACTACACCGCAGTACAGCAGAGATGACATTTTGAGGCAACAATTATGTGTCATCTCTGCGTGTGACATTCACCTGTCCCATCTTGTTGCTTACTATGTTGACAAAGTTTGTAAAAACGTTATGAACATTAATTTTCTGTTTAACTTTCCTGTTTAAAGAAAAGACAAAACATCCTGTTTGTTAATCTGTATCTATATATAAAGTTTTGTTTTCCATTCCCTTCTTCCGTCTTGGACGGCCTTAAATTAGCTCTAAGCTATGTCGTCTTGCACCTGCTTGCCTAACTATAACTCCAGTTTCTGATGAAAGGCATCATGAGATTTAGCAGCAACACAAACTAGTGTTCAGAATCCTGAGAACGGAAGCAAGTATAGCGAGTGCAGTTAGTTAGCGCATGCGCGTGTGGTATTTTCCCATTACGTCAACATCCTGTACTTTTTGCCCCTGTCCGCTAGCTACAAAACCGAACGCCTCTCGACTCGTCTGTCTCGCACCATCTCAATCTCGCAGAACCTTCACCTGACGGCGTCCTACACAAACTACACAGCCATGGTGGTGAAGCTCCAGACGAAAGCCGAATTTGACGAGGCCATCAAGGCCCTGCCACCCGGCAAGCTGATGGTGGTAGACTTTACGGCCTCCTGGTGCGGCCCCTGTCGTACGATCGGCCCCAAGTTCGAGGCGATGGCCAACGAATTTAAAGACGTAGTGTTCTACAAGGTATGATCGCCCTCCAGCTGCCTCTCTCTCTTCCCGCCCTCTCTTTCTCATTTCCTACCTCCCATTTACATCCTCGATCTTAGCGCACCCTATTGTCATTCAGAAACGGTTTGCTTATAAGTTAACTTTCCCCTTCTACTGTAACAATGCTTTTGCACTCTGGCTTTATAGCTGCATACAAGTGTAGTAGAGGGGACTACTGTATTAGAGAGGAACTCAGTCGCTCTGTTTGCATGTTTTTGCTGTTAACCTGACAGGTGGATGTGGATGAAAACGAAGACACTACAGAGGCAGAGGGAATCCAGGCCATGCCGACTTTTAAGTTCTACAAGGATGGAAAGTCACTAAATCAAGAAAAGCTGCAGGGAGCCAATGAATCTGGGCTGAGGGAAAGAATCATTAAGCTCAAGTAGTTGACTCTATCCGCCTTCTTTTCCATGATGTGACAATCTATTAGGTCTCCACTCTAGTTTAGCACGTAACTGTATGTGTGCATTGGCTCTGCTTATTGTGAAGTGTGTTATGCTACTGGGTTTGAGAATAATATTGCGCAGTATAAACGCAAGGTGCGACACCGTTATTTTGTCTTGTGTGTGGTGGGCATTCCTCACACTTCTTAAACCCTAAAGCAGCATAACAGCTAGCTAACAAATCCCTAGGGAGCTGGTATATTATAACATATTTACAGGAAAAACCTCTTAATTAGCACAAGTATGCCACCACAATAGTAGCTTGGAGTTTACATCCTCTTGGTGTGTCTGGGAGAGCAGGAAATGCATAGTGTATAATGTTGAACTGCACTACCTCAGTTTTCAAGCAGGAAATGCATAGTAGAACTACTCTATGTCAGCTGCGGAAATGTGCACTTGTATTGTTAGATTACATGAGTGCATCATGCTTGCCATTGTCTAATATGTAGTCTCTACTGTATAAGGCATTTTTAGAGAGGAATGCCATGGGTTTCTTCTTCAATAAGCATAATTTTTTATTTATAAAGTATTTGAGCCTAGTACCCCTATATAAATTCTTATGGATTATGTATGGAGGCTCTGGACACATTATGTGTCTGTGCATAGTTAAGTGTTAACTTGAGTGCTGAATTCCATAGAGTGTGACCTTAAGTGTGTTTGCAGATAGTGAGGGTGTGGGAATGAAGACAGAAGCCATTGCTATGTGGAAGGAATCCCTTTCCCCATGTGCTTCTTGGCTGGAACCTTCCTCATGAACCAGTCTGATTCCTTCCTCTCTCCCACACTTTTCTGCATACATAATGTGATACTAAAGATAGCCCAGATAATGTAATGCTAGCTGTCCTATGTCAGTGTGACAATTGCAGCATAATTACCAATGAGGCAGCTAGATCTGTAGCATGTAAGGTGGCTCAAAAGCACTACATTCTGCCTTTATTCCTCTACAATGAGGGCTCTGTGCTCTGTGTGCTTTGGCATAAATTTGTTCCTCGTCTCAATTCACACCATGCCACATAGTCATGCATTATAAGGTTGTGCCTGCTGTTTAGCCATTGCCTCCCTCCCAGCCAAATCAGGCACATTTTACTTCCTGCCCTTAGGCCTTATGGTGAACGCTTGACACTTTTTTAAACTCCCCCTCCCCTTAGTCTCTAGTAGTGGCGTTTCCAGCATTTGCGAATAGGGGGTGTTACCGCGACCGCGGCGGAAGTATATAGTAATTACGCAGCTGACCGCAACACGCGGAAACCCAGACCCCAGGCAAGCGCAGTATCACGACACGCAATCGCTCGTGCGCGCACTTACGCGGTCCGGTCGTAAGGGGGGGTGTTCAAACACCCATATCACCCCCCTGGAGATGCTACTGTCTAGAGGGTGGGACAAATTTTTAAATGTTAGGAGAATAATTTAACCTGTGTGTGATGGGCTTGGGGTGATTTATGCTTGCTACAGATCATAGCTCTTTGTTACGAAACCAAAATAATATGTTGCACATTCTGCAGTGTGGTCAATGAAGTGTTAATATTAATTACTCCAAAACTTCAATCGTGTCAGTTTGTTTAAACCCTGCGAACACTCCCCCAACTACCACGAGACGGTCTTCTCCCGGGAGAGAGACTGCAAGCGTCATAGATCGCCTGTTCTTCATCTGACTAACGAGTATCCAAGAGTCAGTGTAGAAATTGTATCTATAGACGTTGGATGTAGTGTCCAGATCATCTCTTCCACCAACTGACAGCAGGTGTCCATTGAACGTCGCAACGGTAGACCAAGCCAGTGGCAACGAGCCCATCTCCTTCCAAACAGTTTGATCTGTCTGCTGTGTTGTGGGTCCTGGTGCGGTGGATGACAAGAGGTCGGAGAGAGTGCAGCTGAAGACAGACTTTGAAACGGTCAAGCCAGTTGTGTATCCACCTGCCAAGTATAGAGTGTCTCCTAAGAGTGTACCCGAAGGTGCTTGCGGTAGAGGAGCAACAGTGGTCCACTTCTTAGTGTCATTGTCCATTAGCTCGACTTTGTTGACATATCTAGCAGGCACCTCACCTCTGTTACAGCCCCCTGCAACGACTAGAGCCTGTTCGGTAGCAACGTAAGCCACAAAGCTACGCGGTGTGGGCATGGGAGGGAAGGCCTCGGACCACTCTTTCCGCCCACCTTCTCCACAGAGACTGATGAGAGTGTTAGTGGAAATGCCTTCTCCACTAAGACTGACAAGCGACGTGTCAGTGGAAGCAGTGTTGGTACCACCCACAGTAGTGAGAAGACCATCAATAATTGCCAGGCCGCAACCTTGATTAGGGTTGTCTGCCAGCTGAGTCCACTCCCCCAATACGGTGTGGTATGAGTAAACGCTGTGGGACAAACCCGACACAAAGTAGGCTGTGTTTCCATCAACTACCACTTCCCCCCTGCACATGTCTTCTGGTGCATTCCCACTTTCCCTCCAGCTCATGTCGCTGATATCCTTGGGAGACCTTGTGACTGTTGGGTGCGTCTTTGTTACTGTTGGGCTCATGTTTTCTGGTTGTTGTCTACCAACTAGGCCTTGAATCTCTAGCATTCTCTACTCTGCTGAAACGGTCCGCTGGAGGTCAAAGATGATGTCGTCCTTATGCTGAAGGCTCTGCTGAAACTCTGCCACTAACTGCTCACTGGCTTCCAGTTGTTGTCGTGTCTGTTCTAACAGTTTGTCTTTCCTTTGGTTTTCCTGGATCCTGGTGGTTAGTTTATGGTGCATTTCCTGGATTTGTTCATCTCTCGCCTGGAGCTGCCTGTCCCTCTCCTCAATTGCATACTGTGGCTCTTTAAGCTGTTTTTCTTTGTCCAAAAGCTCTATTTGAAGTTGACTATCTTTGTCTTGAATCATGCCTTGTAGCTGTGAGATTTGGGTCTTGTAATTCCTAGATTCTCTTGTTTTCGCATCAGCGAGTATTCTTTGGCCTCGAAGTTGAAGCTTGAGTTGCTGGATATTATCGCTGCTCTGAACTTCCTGCATGCTGTCAGTGAACTGAGATGATTGTTTCATCTCAGACAGCTTCTCGCAGAGCTGTAGCGCAGTGGGACGCCGTCTCTCTTTGTTCTTCAGGCAATGAACGGCTAGAGGCTTCAAGGAGTGTGTGTCTGGAATGAGGTCAAGGTGGGATTTACGACGCTCTGATTCCGTAACTACTTGACGAATTTCCCTCCCTTCATCGACTTCTCCGTCACTTTCTTCATATTCCCGACCCATTATGGTAGGAACGATACGAAAGCGATCGGTTGGATTAGGAAACATTCTGGTCAAGATCTGGATGACTATGACGCCAAACGAAAATATGTCGAGCTTGGACGTGTAAGGGTTGCCTTTGTCCAAAGCTTCAGGTTACATGTACAGGACGTTACCTGGGTACAGGGTCAAGGCTGACATGCGTGGATTGACACTAGCAAGCTTTGACATCCCGAAATCCGTGATCTTGGCTCGAATGCCAGCGATCATCAAGACGTTGTTTCCCGTTAAGTCTCTGTGGATGAGACCATTGGAGTGTAGGTAGACCAGAGCCACTGCTATGTCGTGGGAGATGTTCACCTGAGTGTGGTAGGACAGTGGTCCTGGGGATCGCTCCAGGAATGCTGTCAGACTTTCATCGCAGAACTCCAGGAGGAGAACAGGCAGTCGTGTGTCGGGGTCAGTGTAAGTACCCAGGTACTGGACTACATTGGGGTGCCTCGCTAGACTAAGTAGGTGGCATTCGTCTCGAAATTTGTGCAAGTAGGAGGCTGTTCCGGGGTCACACAGGTCAAAAAGTGTGGGGTGCACGATCTTGGCAGCACACAATAGCCCATCACACTTGGCCACACACACACCTCCATAAGATCCACTACCGAGACTTTGGGATTTGTAGAGTTCTGTGTTATGATAGGTAAACTGCCCAGCCATGACTGGAATCTGTGACATTGAATAAATATTAGACCTTTATAGTCGATATACTTTGAGAAATACAGCAAATACGAACATATTTAACCTTATTAGTGATTGATTAACTTCCCCATGTCTCTCTCATTCGCTCTAAACCGAACCAAGTTTATACAAAGTCAGTTCCTTATTGAGCAGGTTTCCTCACCTTACGAAGCGCCCACTCTGCATGAGTAGCATGTGAGCAAAGTTTCTTTAGGAAATTGGCTGGACTCCCTATAAGGAGTGGGCCAAGGAACTTAATTACTCAAGCTGTCAGGTTTAGCTACAAGGAGGAGAAGCTACACCAATGTCACCAATGTTGAGTTATGAATTTTACTCAGCAATGAAGTTACCCCACACAGCCAGCGAGACTAAGAGCTCCGCGTCGCAGTTTCGCAAGCCCGTGAACTGCCATGCTCGCGCAAAAACGTCAAGAAGCCTTATACTGTTCTATAACTATATACTTGTTCTAGCTGCAGAACTAGAACGCTGCCGCGGCAGTGCCTATTTATTGTTGAATACAGCATAAGTAATGCTCAACAGGATAAAATAGTAATGACTATCATGCTTAGTAGAGACGTGTTCGTTTAGAAATATCCCACACGTTAGTAACCACACCAGAAATAATCGGTGTAATAATTACAATAGCTATAGTTCTCGCGCTATAATAATCAACAAAGCAAAGTAGCTAGTCTTACCTTTATTCGTCAGAGTAGTTTCTCCCTGACCGAGCCACTTCTGCAAAAGTCAGTGCCACACCCTTTATGTGTGTTGCGCCCTGCGCACTCTCGCGCGCGGGGAAGGCCCCCGCCGCACCTCACTAGTTTCAGCCAACTAAACGGGGGTACTCTCCTACTTTGGAGATTACAAAGAATAAAAGGAAAAGAAGCATATTGTGTCCTAAGTGTATGGGTGATAACTGCGCGATTGTTCGACTGGTAAATGCGCATGCGCAGGGCACGATTGGTCCATGCGCGGGCGGGACGACCTACCGTCCTCGCGCATGCGCACTCTAAATGATACCGCGTGCTCACCATGAGCGCAGTGTACTTTACATGATAGTGTGGGTGATTAAAGGAATGTTCCTTCTGTATGCCCCCATTAGTAATGTGGTCTGGGGGAGACATGCCCTCTCACTGGGGTCTACATGATCTTGTCTGTAGTCTGTAAGGACAGCCAATTTGGGTCGTTTGTTGTAGCCTATTACGAAATCAAAGCAAAGCTAAGTCAAACAACTGAACAATTCTAAAAGAGCTGCCCTAGGTGGGATTCGAACCCATGGCACTCTGCAGTCTAGATAAGCACTCTACTAACTGAGATACCCGGGAAACTCAGCTGGTATGAGTTCAAACAATACAACAACAGACAAAGGAAAAAAACCTGATTAGCATGTAGGAGCAGAACCGGCCAATAAAACAACTCCAAAGTAAAGTGTCAACAACGAGGCAAAGGCAAAGGCAGAGCAAACAAGCCAACTACACCCAGGACAGCCATGTTATGTAGATCAAGGGCAGAGTAAAGTTGGACACCACAGTCTTTCTTTAAATAAAATATTGTTCATCTTCTTCTATTTCACGATGAAAGGCCAAAAGACGAAATAACATAGTTTGTAGGAATGTAGATATGTGTCATGCAAAGAGATTAGATTTAACAATTTGGTTTACTGCAAATAACAACAAATGGCTCTAATATTAGCTTAATTTGCTCTAAGATCTCCTTCTGCCCATCTTCTAGTCATACTAACTCAAAAATTGTGTGAAGAAAATTTCTGCAAATGGCTCTAAAAATTCGATTCAACCCCCAGTCTCCCGGAGGCAATAGAGACCAATGGAGTCAAGCTCTGTGACCTGCTGGTAGTCAATGCCAAACAAATGACCTGAAACTAGACCTTCTCATGCAGCACTTTTACTACACCGCAGTACAGCAGAGGTGACGTTTTGAGGCAACAATTACGTGTCATCTCTACATCTCTTGCTTGTGATTGTGACATCTACCTGTCCCTTGTTGCTTACTATGTTGACAAAGTTTGTAAAAACGTTATGAACATTTATTTTCTGTTCTATTTTCCTCAAAACATCTTGTTTGTTATTCTGTATCTAGTTGACTAGAAAGTTTTGTTTTCCATTCCCTTCTTCCGTCTTGTACGGCCTTAGCTCTAAGGGATCAGGGTTTTTTCTCTAATATTAGCTTAATTTGCTCTAAGATCTTTTTCTGTCCATCTTCTAATGCCTGGAGACGGATATTGACTTGCTGGATAGCACTAGCAACAACATGTCTCCTGAAGAACCCCCGACGAAGCTTCATCCAACAATTGTAGGTTAAACTCACCAAAAACATTCCACAGATTACGACAGCCGACGGGATGGGGTAAGCTACAATGAATGATCCAAGATATTCCGTGACTTTCCCCACCATCAAGAACAACCACAATACCCATGCAGGTCCCTTTAGTTGGTAGACGACAAAAACTGCACTGTTGAATGCCATTATTGTGAAAATCTTGTTGATGAAACCCGTTGAAAGTTTCCATATCAAGTAGTCCAGTAGGGCGCAAAGAATGAAAATTGCAACTCTCAGAGCTACAAACACTATGCCCCTTTTAGCCTTAAAATAATAGCCTTCTGCAACCAATAATAAAGAAGGAATCAGCATCATGACTAATAATTATACTAGGGACAAAACATACCATTTTCTCTTAGAGAGTCGTCATCTTCCCACATAATTTCAAAAAATGAACTAAATTCCTCTCTCAGTACATTTCGAACCACTTCAGCATATTCTCCAATCTTCTCATAAACACGACCGGCAAACTCAGCAGTTTTATTGTACGCTTGTTGCAACTACTATCGATGTTCTGTTATACAACGCTTCAACTAGTTTCGCAGTTTGATTGTAGAGAACTTCACTTATATCTTTTATTTTGCTCTTGACCCCTTCCACGACATCAGCAGCTTTATAGTACATTCGTTTTGCTTGCTGTTGTATGTTATACAGCATTAGTGATATTAAGTGTCTACCCACCGAATAAGGGTTCCACCAAACAACAGAACTCTCTCCAATTTCAACTAGCTCGGTTCCTTCAGGGCAGTTATCTTCAGTGCAGTAATCATTTTCACTTGAACTAGCTGCTGAAGATACAAGTACTAGCACTGTCAGAAGAACAAGAAAGATACTCGAAAATAGGACCTTCATCATTGAAAGCGTCTCTCTCAGGTGTCAGATACTATTGCGCTCATGCGGTTCGCGGTGCACATGCGCGATCGCCGGTGCACGCGTAGTGACGTTTAGGTCTCCAGGGCGGGTCCGTGGGCGTGGGGCGTGGCTCGCTGATCTGCGCCGCGCGAAAGAGAGTAGTCCGCGCCCCTGCGACCAGCAGCACAACGTCCGTATTTTACGTTTTTCCGCCAGTTCGGGTGGAGTGCTATAGGATGTGTGGGTCGGCGGGCTAAGTTTGCAGCCAGTGGGTGGTGTCCTTTTCTGTAATTAGCTACAGACGATTTTCATATACAAAAAATCCTTGTTTTATAATCTAATACATTAACTTATAGTCCTAGTAGTTAGGACAGGTCCATAAAAAAACTTCGTGTGCAGTTTAGAGACACGCAGACGCATGCGCACGCGAAATTTGGGCGATGGGAGGCGCTGCTGTCACTCCTTCCTCTCTTCAACAATTCCACGTGACTTGAAATGGGATGATGGAAATGGTGAACTATCTACGAAATAGAGAGGGATTACAGGGGGAATTTTGAACAACAATATCACTTTATTGTCACACCCTTGTTGGAGTGGGGACTGAGATAATTATGCGCCAGGCCCTGCCATTGGTTTCTGTGTCAATGTGACGTACTTTATGACACTGCCAGAATTTCCTTGGAAGGTGGTGAGGTGAGGAAGTCAAAGTGACTGTGGTTGCATAACAATATGATGGTCCAATGCATCCATAGTAATGCATTCTGTTCAGCATGTGCTACCTTTGCAACAGCAGGCAAACTTAGCAGTCACATGCACGCTGTGATAATTATACCAAGCGCTTCAGTGAAAAATGAAACATTTCTTTGGACAACTAACTTTCACAGCAACATTCTAAACAAGGCTCCTGAATGCAGATCAGGGGGATATTTTAGCAAACCATCAAAAAGTTTGGGACATTCCTCGTGTGCATTGGTGGATCCAGGTAGAGTAAGATAGCCACAGATGCCTATCACTATAAAAACCTTTGTTCATAAAGGGTCTACTGCAACATGTTGTGTAAGGTATACCTAGGCAAAGGGGGAAAGACCTAAGTGTAGTATCTAAATGTGAACCAGGGGAAATTTCAAAGCTCAATGGTACTGCAATGTCACCTTACGCGGTGTAGGCATGGGAGGGAAGACCTCGGACCACTCTTTCCCCCTACCTTCTCCACAGAGTCTGAGGAGAGTGTTAGTGGAAATGCCTTCTCCACTAAGACTGACAAGCGACGTGTCAGCGGAAGCAGTGTTGGTACCACCCACAGTAGTGAGAAGACCATCAATAATTGCCAGGCCGCAACCTTGATTAGGGTTGTCTGGCAGCTGAGTCCACTCCCCCAATACGGTGTGGTATGAGTACACGCTGTGGGATAAACCCGACACAAAGTAGGCTGTGTTTCCATCAACTACCACTTCCCCCCTGCACATGTCTTCTGGTGCATTCCTGCTTTCCCTCCACCTCATGTTGCCGATATCCTCGGGAGACCTTGTGACTGTTGGGTGCGTCTTTATTACTGTTGGGCTCATCGTAATGTTTCCTGGTTGTTGTCTACCGACCAGGCCTTGAATCTCTAGCATTCTCTGCTGTGCTGAAACTGTCCGCTGGAGGTCAAAGATGACGTCATCCTTCTGCTGAAGGCTCTGCTGAAACTCTGCCACTAACTGCTCACTGGCTTCCAGTTGTTGTCGTGTCTGTTCTAACAGTTTGTCTTTCCTTTCGTTTTCCTGGATCCTGGTGGTTAGTTTATGGTGCATTTCCTGGATTTGTTCATCTCTCGCCTGGAGCTGCCTGTCCCCTCCTCAATTGCATACTGTGGCTCTTTAAGCTTTTTTCTTTGTCCAAAAGCTCTATTTGGTTCACTTGAAGTTGACTATCTTTGTCTTGAATCATGCCTTCTAGCTGTGAGATTTGTGTCTGGTAATTCCTAGATTTTCTTGTTTTCGCATCAGTGAGTATTCTTTGGCCTCGAAGTTGAAGCTTCAGTTCTTGGATATTATCGCTGCTCTGAACTTCCTGCATGCTGTCAGTGAACTGAGACGATTGTTTCATCTCAGACAGCTTCTCGCAGAGCTGTAGCGCAGTGGGACGCCGTCTCTCTTTGTTCTTGGGGCAATGAACGGCTAGAGGCTTCAAGGAGTGTGTGTCTGGAATGAGGTCAAGGTGGGATTTACGGCGCTCTGATTCCGGAACTACTTGACGAATTTCCCTCCCTTCATCAACTTCTTCGTCACTTTCTTCCCGATCCATTATGGTAGGAACAATACGAAAGCGATCGGTTGGATTAGGAAACCTTCTGGTCAAGGTCTGGATGACTATGACACCAAACGAAAATATGTTGAGCTTGGACGTGTAAGGGTTGCCTTTGTCCAGAGCTTCAGGTGACATGTACAGGACGTTACCTGGGCACAGGGTCAAGGCTGACATGCGTGGATTGACACTAGCAAGCTTTGACATCCCGAAATCTGTGATTTTGGCTCGAGGACCAGGAATCATTAGGACATTGTTTCCCGTTAGGTCTCTGTGGATGAGACCATTGGAGTGTAGGTAGACCAGAGCCAGTGCTATGTCGTGGGCGATGTTCACCTGAATGTGGTAGGATAGTGGTCCTGGGGATCGCTCCAGGAATGCTGTCAGACTTTCATCGCAAAGCTCCATGAGGAGAACAGGCAGTCGTGTGTCGGGGTCAGTGTAAGTACCCAGGTACTGGACTACATTGGGGTGCCTCGCTAGACTAAGTAGTTGGCATTCGTCTCGAAATTTGTGCAAGTAGGAGGCAGTTCCGGGGTCACGCAGGTCAAACAGAGTGGGGTGCATGATCTTGGCAGCACACAATAGCCCATCACACTTGGCCACACACACACCTCCATAAGATCCACTACCGAGACTTTGAGTTCTGTGTTATGATAGGTAAACTGCCCAGCCATGACTGGAATCTGTGACATTGAATAAATATTAGACCTTTATAGTCGACATACCTTGAGAAATACAGCAAATACGAACATATTTAACCTTATTAGTGATTGATTAAGTTCCCCATGTCTCTCTCATTCGCTCTAAACCGAACCAAGTTTATACAAAGTCAGTTCCTTATTGAGCACGTTTCCTCACCTTACGAAGCGCCCACTCTGCATGAGTAGCATGTGAGCAAAGTTTCTTTAGGAAATTGGCTGGACTCCGTATAAGGAGTGGGCCAAGGAACTTACTCAAGCTGTCAGGTTTGGCTACAAGGAGGAGAAGCTACACCAATGTCACCAATGTTGAGTTATGAATTTTACTCAGCAATGAAGTTACCCCACACAGCCAGCGAGACTAAGAGCTCCGCGTCGTGAACTGCCATGCTCGCGCAAAAACGTCAAGAAGCCTTATACTGTTCTATAACCTTATACTGTTCTATAACTATATACTTGTTCTAGCTGCAGAACTAGAACGCTGCCGCGGCAGTGCCTATTTATTGTTGAATACAGCATCAGTAATGCTCAAAGAGGATAAAATAGTAATGGCTATCATGCTTAGTAGAGACGTGTTCGTTTAGAAATATCCCACTCGTTAGTAACCACACCAGAAATAATCGGTTGTAATAATTACAATAGCTATAGTTCTCGCGCTATAATAATCAACAAAGCAAAGTAGCTAGTCTTACCTTTATTCGTCAGAGTAGTTTCTCCCTGACCGAGCCACTTCTGCAAAAGTCAGTGCCACACCCTTTATGTGTGTTGCGCCCTGCGCATTCTCGCGCGCGGGGAAGGCCCCCGCCGCACCTCACTAGTTTCAGCCAACTAAACGGGGGTACTCTCCTACTTTGGAGATTACAAAGAATGAGAGGAAAAGAAGCATATTGTGTCCTCAGTAAGTGTGTGGGTGATAACTGCGCGATGCGCATGCGCAGGGCACGATTGGTATGCGCGGGGCCGGGGCGGGACGACCTCTACCGTCCTCGCGCATGCGCACTCTAAATGATACCGCGTGCTCACCATGAGCGCAGTGTACTTTACATGATAGTGTGGGTGATTAAAGGAATGTTCCTTCTGTATGCCCCCATTAGTAATGTGGTCTGGGGGGAGACATGCCCTCTCACTGGAGTCTACATGATCTTGTCTGTAGTCTGTAAGGACAGCCCATTTGGCTCGTTTGTTGTAGCCTATTACGAAATCAAAGCAAAGCTAAGGCAAACAACTGAACAATTCTAAAAGAGCTGCCCTAGGTGGGATTCGAACCCATGGCACTATGCAGTCTACATAAGCACTCTACTAACTGAGATACCCGGGAAACTCAGCTGGTATGAGTTCAACAACAGACAAAGGAAAAAACCTGATTAGCATGTAGGAGCAGAACCGGCCAATAAAACAACTCCAAAGTAAAGTGTCAGCAACGAGGCAAAGGCGAAGGCAGAGCAAACAAGCCAACTACACCCAGGACAGCCATGTTATGTAGATCAAGGGCAGAGTAAAGTTGGACACCACAGTCTCTCTTTAAATAGAATATTGTTCATCTTCTTCTATTTCACGATGAAAGGCCAAAAGACGAAATAACATAGTTTGTAGGAATGTAGATATGTGTCATGTAGATTTAACAATTTGGTTTACTGCAAATAACAACAAATGGCTCAGTTGCTAGTTTAGTGTTAAGGGATTAGGTTTGTCTCTCTAATATTAGCTTAATTTGCTCTAAGATCTCCTTCTGTCCATCTTCTAATGCCTGGAGACGGATATTGACTTGCTGAATAGCACTAGCAACAACATGTCTCCTGAAGAACCCCCGACGAAGCTTCATCCAGCAATTGTAGGTTAAAGTCACCAAAAACATTCCACAGATTACGACAGCCGAGGGGATGGGGTAAGTTACAATGAATGATCCAAGATATTCCGTGACATTCCCCACCATCAACAACAACCACAATACCCATGCAGGTCCCTTTAGTTGGTAGACAACAAAAACTGCACTGTTGAATGTCATTATTGTGAAAATCCTGTTGATGAAACCAGTTAAAAGTGTCCATATCAAGTAGTCCAGTAGGGCGCAAAGAATGACAATTGCAACTCTCACAGCTACAAACACTATGCCCTTTTAGGCCTTAAAATAATAGCCTTCTGCAACCAAAAATAAAGAAGGAATCAGCATCATGACTAATAAGTGTATATATATTATACTAGGGACAAAACATACCATTTTCTCTTAGAGAGTCGTCATCTTCCCACATAATTTCAAAAAATGAATTAAATTCCTCTCTCAGTACATTTCGAACCACTTCAGCATATTCTTCAATCTTCTCATAAACACGACCGGCAAACTCAGCAGTTTTATTGTACGCTTGTTCAACTACTATCGATGTTTTGTTATAGAACGCTTTCAAATAGTTTCGCAGTTTTATCGTAGTACAATTTGCCTACATCATATATTTTGCTCTTGGCCCCTTCCACAACATCAACAACTTTTATGTATACTCGTTTTCCTAGCTGTTCTATGTTATACATCACGAGTGATTTTAAGTATTGAGCCACAGAATAAGGGCTCCACCAATTAACAGAACTCTCTCCAATTTCAATTAGCTCGGTTCCTTCAGGGCAGTTATCTTCAGTGCAGAAATCATTTTCACTTGAACTAGCTGCTGGAGATACAAGTACTAACACTGTCAGAAGAGCAAGAAAGATACTCAAAAATAGGACCTTCATCATCGAAAGCATCATCGAAAGCATCCCTCTCAGGTAGCAGATAATTATAAATACCAACTATTGCGCACATCCGGTTCGCGGTGCACATGCGCGATCGCCCTCTAGCTGGCGCACGCGCAGTGACATGTCTGTCACGTCCGTGGTTCGCTGATCTGCACGCGAAAGTGTTCGCTGCGAGTAGTCCGCGCCCCTGCGACCAGCACAACGTCCGTATTTTACGTCTTTCCGCCAGTTCGGGTGGAGTGCTATTATAATGAAAAGCACTGAAGTGCAAACCCTCGGCGAACTGCGCATGCGCGGTACCGCTATGTACGGACCCGCAGTCTCCCGCTAGTAGCTCGCGGAGAGTCTGTCAAAGGCTAGCTACGGTAGTAGATAACATGCGGGAGTCGATACACGCCCTTCGCTGTGGTTTCTTGTGCCTCCAAGGTACTAATATACGCATGCGTACCGCTTATTGATGGGTTGGGCCACGGAACACGGTCCGCGACGGTGCCAGTTTGTCGCTCTCGAACGCAGTCGTTTCAGGAAAAACCGTTCGATTAAACTGATCCTTATTACCCGTTTATTACGTCGTATCGTTTGTGGGACGAATAAACTATCGAGTAGTGAGTTGGAGCATGGACAGACAAACAAACAGACAAACAGACAAACATACAAACCCAACTACTGTAACCCTCGCTGCGCATCCCTCGCTGCGCATGCGCGCCGAGGGTTAATTATGTGTGGGTCGGCAGCCAGTGGTGTGGTGTCCTTTACTGTAATTAGCTATAGACGATTTTTATATTTAAAAAGTCTTTGTTGTATAATCTACGACATTAATAACTTATAGTCCTAGTAGTTAGGACAGGTCCATAAAAAAAACTTCGTGTGCAGTTTAGAGACACGCATGACGCATGCGCACGCGAAATTTGGGCGATGGGAGGCGCTTGCTGTCACTCTTTCCTCTCTTCAACAATTCCACATGACTTGAAATGGGATGGTGGAAATGGTGAACTATCTACGAAATAGAGAGGGATTACAGGGGGAATTTTTAACAACAATATCACTTTATTGTCACACCCTTGTTGGAGTGGGGACTGAGATAATTATGCGCCAGGCCCTGCCATTGGTTTCTGTGTCAATGTGACGTACTTTATGACACTGCCAGAATTTCCTTGGAAGGTGGTGAGGTGAGGAAGTCAAAGTGACTGTGGTTGCATAACAATATGATGGTCCAATGCATCCATAGTAATGCATTCTGTTCAGCATGTGCTACCTTTGCAACAGCAGGCAAACTTAGCAGTCACATGCACGCTGTGATAATTATACCAAGCGCTTCAGTGAAAAATGAAACATTTCTTTGGACAACTTACTTTCACAGCAACATTCTAAACAAGGCTCCTGAATGCAGATCAGGGGGATATTTTAGCAAACCATCAAAAGTTTGGGACATTCCTCATGTGCATTGGTGGATCCAGGTAGAGTAAGATAGCCACAGATGCCTATCACTATAAAAACCTTTGTTCATAAAAGGTCTACTGCTATATACATGTTGTGTAAGGTATAGCCTAGGCAAAGGGGGAAAGACCTAAGTGTAGTATCAGGGGAAATTTCAAAGCTCAATGGGTATATACTGCAATGTCACCTTACAACTTTAGAGTGATGTGGATTACACAGAGGGCAGCATTTGCTACAATTTCGAAGGTGACGTTGGCTTTCCATTGTGTGCGTAAATTTTGGACTCCAAGGTCAGCACAATTTAGTCTGTTGACATCTAGCATAATGGAGTACTCTATGGAGTAAGATTAATGCACAGAGAGCACATGATCTTGAACAAGCTAGTGTTTCAGTGGTTTGTGCTATTTTTGCATTCCAAGGTCAGAAAACGGTGTGACATCATCAACCTTTTCCCCTAAAGTGATTGTGGAAAAGGGGATTCCACCGCTCTCACGTCACTCTTTGTGATAATGGAGCATGCTCTATACTAGAGAGGACAGATTGCTTGATACTGCCAAGAGTGACAAATTTGGCTTCTCTACTGGTGTGCTATTTTTGGATAACTGATCATCACAGTGTGTGACATCATCCAGCGTCTGCAGATGGCTCCAAGCTTAAAGCATGTACTGTTCCCACAGAATTGTACAGTATTCACAGTATGCAGATACACAATGTGTGAATATCCGTTGAAGTAAATAAAATTATTCTGATTCTCTATAATGCATGTGCTGAAGTGAAACATTGGTAGAAACGGTGTGTGTGGTTATAGCTACCTCTATTTCATGAATATTGTCTTCATGCCTTTGGGCATAGAATTCTGTCTCAAAATTATAAAAATAGAGTGCCAAGTGATGAATACTTGGAGGGAAAGGAAAAGCTGTGAATCTCTATCACTGCAAAATCAGGTGATACCTTTATCCCCTTTCCCCCATTCCTCATGGTAATGGTCAATCATGTGACAGAGAGGGAACTCCATGCACTACACACATACTCTTATCGTGGTACATACTTCCGACCATTGGTTTATATACCTCACTATATAAGGTGGTGGTTACAATAGATATCGATAGCTCACAAGGGCACATGATTTGCCCACAGGAACTCCACTACCTAAGTTTCTCAAATTTCCACTCTATATAGCCTGCAGACACTAGATAATCCCCTATGTTCAAGTAAGCTGTCTTTGTGCATGTCTTTTTAGTACAATCACCCCTCTTACAGTAAACAGTTTGACCAAGGATTTGGTTAACATTTTGCATGTATTAAGGCGATGGGTAATCCCTTCCTTCCTATAAGCCAAAGAAGGGTGCTGGTGTCTATGGCCATCATGCCACATGACTTGACCGGACACAGCTGTGCACACTTACATAAAACCTACCACACCTACTGTCTAATACACATTTATGGAAGGCAATTGAGCTTACCCTCCAGTCATGTGCACATCTATATAATGCACACCCTCATGACGTATGTATTCCAGTCAGTATAAGGAGTGTATAGTGCCCAGTACACCAAAGAACTGCGTACATGCTGTGTACAGATATTGCTTCTAAAACAGCGTATTATACAAAGACAGAAGCTTACTCTGCTTAATTGGCTAGCCAACTGCATTTAGAGGTTTAAACAAGCATCCTTTGTCACCAAAGGGTAACAGCGGGGTACTCGTTAAGCCATTCATACTTGTCAACAATTATAAAACAGTGGTGAGTTTGCCACGTCGTGTTGTTCGAAATTAGGAGCGCACCTTAAGACTGACATTTTTCCTATAATATACACACTGATGACATTTTATTTTAAAACCACTGGTGGTGAAACTATAATACAAAGTATCATTGTAGCATGAACCTTTTAATGTTGACCAGCAACTGAATGACTTCATAATAATAAAAAAACCACCGATACAAAAGTGATCACGTGCACCAGTATCAAACAAGCACAAAAATACACAACACTGACGGAAATGTAAAGACTTACAAAAAAACACACACGAGTAGCTATCATAGACACACGGACATAACTGAGAGAAATGTCAATAAGAGTGTTAGCAATGTACTGAGAGAGTAAGTCTGTGCTCCATTTGGTAGGGAAGTGGGAAGAGCTGTTGGAATGTTGCAAACACAGTCTGCGGCTCCCGCCGACGAGCCGGGACCTGATGTACCTGCACAACATAATGAGGAAACATGGTGAGACTTGGATCACAGGTATTACATCTGCAAGTGTCTGCCCCTCACTAGCAAAAACAGCAGGAGCCTCTAATGGAAGTTTTCCAAAAGGTTAATTAATACACACATGTGCATGCAGAGGATGTTGGACCATTGCCAGGACAATCCCATACTCTGCCCCAGTTCACTGTATGTCTTCAATAGCACAGTCTGAAAGGCTCCTTTCACTCAGTTAGCTACAATTATAGCTACCATTCATAGTGCAAAAGAATGATGTCCCTTTCCTTGTCACATGGCCTGCTATATACACTTTCATTTCCTAAGTCATCTGTACATGTGCAGGATGACTTACTCTGCCCCAGTTCACTGTAGTATAGTACGGTCTGAAAAGCTCACTACACTCACAACTGTGGGCCACACACTGTGTTACAGATGGCCACCATTCATACACTCTTGTCACATGACGTTGCCCCTCACTTTCATTTCCTATGGATGCACTCTGTGCATAAGTCTAGACCATGCTGTGGTAACTGTACTACAATATTTGTGCACCCATGACCAGTATCGGCTTACCATTGAATAACAAATAGATGCTCTAGATAAAGATATATACTCATCATCTCCCATGCATTGCCCACGTGAACCTTTATAGATATTTCAGGTGCAGAAACAATGAGAAAATGCATAGCTGGCGTGCAATGTCCCGCTCCTTGGTTCATACACAAACCTCACGTCACATGATTGAAAGTACCCATACCTAACATACACAGTACACACAGCCCACTCGTGAAAAGCCAACAAGCCATGGATGTTATCCTAACACACACACACACAGAACACACCCTATTATCGCACATACTTAAGGATCGACATCGCGCTACATAAAGCGGTTCGTTTGAAGAGTTTCACTATGGCATCATATCTCCTATCTCTATCCCAAAAAGGTGGAAGCGGATGTTTTTTGGAGAGAGGACACTAAAGTTGTTCTTCACTTTCCTTAAGATGACTATACTGGATTGTCTATTCAATGTCTATGCTAACGCATGTGTATTGCGAAATTTTACTTTCTACAATCATTTTGACCGGGTTACTTTCCTGAGGCTATAACCTACCAGTAGATGTGGTAGATGATGATGATGATGTAATAGGAGGTGATGTAATCTCTGTTGTGGAAGGTGTCGTTGATGGTGGAAGTGCCGGGGAAGGAGTAGGTGCCAGCGGATGTGAAGAAGTAGCCACAGGGGCTGGACTGGCAGTAGCTGGAGGCTCTGTATAATTATAGTACAGCTGTTAATATGCCACTCAGCACATGGACAACATCTCACACTTGCCATGGAGCCAAATTCCTACTCCTGGCATAATATCTTCAATTAACGACACTGTATATCTCCTAACAATATTGGGAGACTGTACACAAAACCTATACTAAGTGCTATTGTAGTGTTACATGATGTACCTCTGACTGCTAGTACTCTGGCTTTAGAATACTCCATTACTTCGTTGGTGCTCACTCCACACTGTAGGACGAGGTTGTTGGCGGCAAGGGTAGCCCTGAAAGTGAGTCTCACGGAGCACCCGGTTGTTTCGAGGCTTATAAAACCGGGCATCACTCCAATGATATCCCCAGCAACGATTTCCTCTATCCCGCCACTGGAGACGCGGAGCATACGGAGGGGGTGGGAGAGGGGATCGCAGTCCATGGCCACGGTACAGTCGACCTGGACCTCCTGGCCGACGGGGATACTGCAGTCTCTGGAGCGGCACCCGGGGGGGCTGTCCGGGCCGCAGGCGACGCACTGTATGTGTGGTGGTCATCTGGACGTGGAAGCCTTGGGCTCCTGCACCGAGCAAAGTAGTTAGCTAGCTACGCACGTTACAACAAAAAACGTTGCGAGGTCCGTGTATGGGGAGGCAAATTGCTATAGCTACACGCGATTGTAGCTACGTAGAGTTACACTAGAGTTCTAGTTAGGTTGCTAGAGGAAAAAAGCATATTTGGAGGCGTGAAAACAAGGGCGAGACCGCTGATAAGTGCGATAGTTAGTTAGTTACTCACCAGAGAGTTGAAAGGCGTTGAGCAGAGCAACCACCAGTCCGTAATAGTAGCAAAGCATCTCGCTGTCTTTCTGATACAAAATCAATTCTATTGGGCGTTTTATGTCGGGGGTCGGTCTCCAAATATGCACTGAGCATGCGTGTTACGGCGCGCCGCTGAAGTATACAGGTATATACGTATTACTACTTACTGCTTCATGGGACACCATCAGAACGGGAAATTGCGAGGATTCAAATGCTCGGCATTAGCACTAGGTATCGCTCGTATCGCTGTAGAAAAGGCGCTGTATTGCGCTGGCAAATAATTCTATTTACTCGCCCAGGCCATGAATGCACTGAATTATCCCACATTTGCTCCTTTGTGTGTTTGTTTAGTAGCAAGGACATAATGAACAAGTGGTAAGGTGGGCGGATGGGTACAAAGCACTATGGCGAGAAGGTGTCAAGAGCTAAAATGTCGGCATCAACGATCTTTCCGCGCGTCCGGATCCGTAGCTTACCCCACTCGCTACATACTGAAGTAAGGGGTGTCCCCCGGGGCGTTACCGCTCTGCGCACAAATGATTAGCAGGGAAAGTCCGCGGAATTTCCCGTTCGCGTTGCACTTCTCTGACGTCAGTCCCATTGACGCGCGTGCGCGGATCGTGCGTGCTCGAGGCACTCAGCTGGCCCGCCCGCAGCCGCACGCAAGAGCTTCGCGCGTGGGCGACACACGCACGTAGTAACTAAGTATAGTCAGTGCCCCGCCAAAGTCAGATCCTCGCTAGGGTCTTGGTATTGCTACATTTTCCATGGAAGATACGCACATGACAATAAAGTAATCATGATGGTAGCTGTTCTAGTGCCATTTGTATCTGCTCAGCCATTAGTGAGAGCTCACAGTTCTTCAAAGTTGCTATGAGGCTCTCCCACGACACCTCCACCCCCTTCCCTGCCAGCCACTCCCTCAGAATCCCCATTGTGATCCTCTCTGGATCCCCGCGACAACACTCACTGATATTAGCCACTTTGTCTCCAAAGTCGTCTTGGAGAAGAAGCGTGCCGAATGTGAGGGACTTGGGCCCAACTCGAGAGGGCAGTCTGATCTTGACAAGTTCTGTCAGTGTAGGCCTTTCACCAGAGACTGCAAGAAGCAACAATTCATGCACTAAAATCATATACCTACAAGCCTTCACACAATTTGAAAGTGTACTTTGATATCTATCTACATACCTGATAAAGGAGGCACCGATGTGGACTTTTTCTTGGAGTCTGACTTGCTCTCTATATAATTATATCATATAAATATATAGCCAAATGCAAGTGTGGGACTCAATGAGCATACTTGCAGATGTAGATGCTGAAGTGGCCTTCTTTTGTTGTCTGTTCTTCCCTTTCGCTTCTACCCCTGCAAAGAAATAGTCACTATTAGCTCTAGGTATAAATGTACTCACAGATAATCATCTTACCGTCGAGCCACATTTCCTGGTCAGGAGTGAGAGGATGGACCACACTGTCTGGACTGACGGAGCAGGTGAGAAAGCTGTGAGTTGCATTGACTCTGGCAACATGAGGGAACGTCGAGCATCTAGCGCTCTGCTCGGGACACAAGAAGGACAGTTCGGGTGTCTTCACCTCGTAGTGGAGGGTTTGCATTGCTCGCTTTATTGCGGCGCTGAACGTGATGTGGATTTCATTGAAGAGTGAAACCCTCTGCTTTGGTGCAATCATTTTCGGGAGCTCTACAACTATCTCCAAATAAGAAGAAAGGGGATCATGAAACGTGAGCTTTCCCGGAAGTTCCCGAGGCAATTGGAAAACGGTGCTGTTCCTAGCTACCTGAACCACTTCGCCGCCTTTGCTCAAGAGCTTCCAACCTGCCTTCGTCAGCAGATATGATACGGTGCAGCAGTAGATTCCAAGCATTGGGCTCTTCTTAGAAAAGTGGAGGACAAAGGAAGATCGGATGTTGTCCTGAGCAGGCAGGGGGTAAGGGTAGATGTCACCGACTTCCAGAACGCAAGGCATGAGGTATTTCCCCTGGCCCAACCTGCGTGACAATGAAAAGCGACTTGAGAACCTTCAGCAGGTCCTCTGGTGCAAAGTGGTTGCTACTGTAATGCTTGGAGCATGCTTCGGACTTGAGGATTTCTAGAGTGAGAATGCCTTGCTGATGGAACTTTCGCTCAAGCCCGCCGAGTGGACGATTGCCCTTCTTTAGCTCGAGGCTGTAGGTGACAAGCTCGGTGATCTTGTCCAGGATCACCTGACAACTGCCAAAGACGACATTGGGCAGGACATCGTAGAACGATATGATGTGGAGCTCACGCAAGTAGTTGAGGCACGCTTTCAAGGATGGGGGATCGAAGCCAAGCTTGGAGCCAATGAACTCGCACTCCTGCAGACTCAGAATCTGACGGTTGAGCTGCTCCATAACCTTGCGAAGGGCTACTTCATATCCACACCATTTAAGTGGGAGGTTTTTAGGGTTTCGACTGCGACTGCCTACTCAGAGCCTCTTTCAGTCGTCTTGCTGTCTCGTAATCTTCATCGCTGGGTGTTCGGGCATTCACCCTGAACGTTACCTGCCGTAGCGACCCACCATTACTAATAACGCACTGTTGCAGCTCTTCTGGTAGGATCTCAGTGATCATGGAATGCAGGCGCTCATCTTTTTCATCAGGCGTTTCTTCGGGGCAGGCATCCTGCTGATCAACGAACGTGCCTACAAGAGCAAGATTGGGTATCTCCTTGTTACCACAGCGGCTGGCTTCTGACTGGATGGCAAGGAGATCGTGACGGATCACTTGTTCATTGGTGAGGTACGACATGTAGGGATCGTTTGCTTGCGCTCCATCCCTGTAAAACACCACCTCTCCGTGAATATCGAGAGGCTCAGAGAGCTTGAAGACTGAGATGATGCCCGTTATGGCTGGTAAAACAATGGCGACGACCTCGTGGAACTGTGGCTGGCCGCCAGAGTCCAGTAGACGGATGGAATAGCTGAGCAAAAGATCATTGAACAATTTCCCTCTACGCATAAGGCCGTGTAGGCCATCCTGTATCTTGACCAAAATACCTTCTATATTATTATGAGGGTCGTTCTTGATGGACTTTGAAAGAGGCTTGCTAAATATTGCGCTTAGTTTAGAAGCCATCTGAGAAGAACGACTTTTCTTTGACTTAAGGAAGGCTTTTGATTCAGTGACTTGTTTTCTATTTCGCTCATCAGCGGGAGATGAAGTTAGCGCAACTGCTTCGCTTTTTTCATCGGTTTCTTTCGTTTCATGCTGTGTTTTGGTGAGTAAGTGTCGGCTGGTGTGGGCAACCATGCGTGCTTGACGATCAATGTCCACCAGTTCCCACTGACCGGTGAAGGTTGAGGTTGACACATCTCGGACGGGACAGAGGTGGAGGGACTCTTCCGCGACTGCAGTGCTGACACGAGCGAGATCTCTCTGTTTCCCGATGAACATGGCAATGAGACTTGACTTGCCCACCCCTCCTGGTCCGTGAATCAGGAAAAGATCGTCTTTGTGCGGAATGTAGCCATCCTTCATGGCAATTTGAAGATATTTTTCTACTGGAACTGCCTCTAAAATGGATAATATCAACGTATTTTTTTGAGGTTGGTGACACTAATTTTACCCGCTAGAGGCATGATTCTCTTGCACTTATACTATATGCAATGTTTATTGTATTTTGCGTGGGCGAATCAAAGGCGCCGCCAGTACTATATTCATCATACAGAGCGGTTTTTGAATGAACTGTACTATATCGCCCGGAACTGTACTATATCACACGAACTGTGCTATATCCGCGGACTAGCGCACGCTTTGCGGGAATGACGCCCTCGGCGGCCTTTCGTAGACGGAGTTCGACTCAGACGGTGACACAAACCGCGGCTGGAAGGGCGCTCCGCGAGCTTCTCGTCCTCTCTTCTGTTCTGAACGCCGGTTTTCCTGGTCGCCGCCTTTTGAATCGCCCACGCATACAATAAATAACTTAATGTACGGAAGTCAGTGCTGTGCGCGTAATAATGGTACCCTCGTACCATTATTACGCGCACAGCACTGACTTCCGTACATTAACTATTACGTATTGGCTGAGCATTGTGAAAGCAATAGGTACTTACGTAAGCAAGAGACTTGCTGCATGGCAATAGCTACCATTTCTTAACACACAGCCTAACAAACTCTTACTTGTAAATTTACTCTTTCGGATGAGACGAACAAGGTCATTAAAATGGTTCTTCTACACCAATACGATCCTTCAAACTTGCTTCAAAATATTGTATCTAAGAAAGGGAGGGAGAGAGGGAGAGGAAGAAAGTGTAAGGGAGAATCCATGTCATACTAAGTCCTACTTTTAGTTCTGAAGCCAGTTCCATTCCCTCAGCTGCAGAAATTACTCTCATCTCTGAATCTGAATTGTTGGCTACTAATACCATTGGAAACTTTGACCTGCAAGTGACGAATGACAACGCAATTGAGTGTACAAAACAATACACATCAGAATAAAAAAGAAAACCTGAGTCATAACACTCAAATCAGTTGGTGAACTTTAGTCAACTTCTAAGATTGACGATGCATAATTTTTTCGAAGACTCAGGTAAATAGACTTGAGTACAGCCCATAGACCCTCTCTCACAACCCACGCATGCACGAGGGAATACGTGAGTCGGAGAGAGAGATGGTCTATAGCAAAACCTGCACATGATTACATTTCCCATGAGTATGATTGGAGTGAATCACTCCATTACTGAACAACCCACGCAATAATCAAATTCGAACATTCCAGCAAAATGTAAGTGAACCTTCTCTCTGCATGCATGCATGCGAGGCCTAGAGAGCGGGTGTTCTGGCTAGACTGACATGAATAGTTTAGTTAGTTGACGATCCCATTCTCTTACTTGTCTTTGACCCTGAGTATCTGCCGATAATACTTCCGAATTTCCTCAAAGCTGTTCCTGTTGTCGACAGAATAGACTAGTAAGAACCCATCCCCTGTGTGATTATACTGCTCTCTCATGGCACTGAACTCCTGAGTGGGTGAGAGAAGGGAGAGAGAAGGATATAGTAGGGAAAAGACAAAAATTAAGCTACTAACTTCTAATCCTGCCGTAGACATGACATCGAGGAAAACAACTTCACCATCAATGACACACTTTTTCCTATAAGGATCGGGATCATATTCACGGTCCTAAGTGAGAGAAAACAAATATCACACAAGTGCGTGTATAGCTACTCCTATGTCAAAGCTGTGTCAACATACCTCAACGAACTTTAACATTAGCTCAGATTTCCCCACTCCTTCTCCCCCACACACCACCAGGTAGTACTCCTCAATTGCAGCCATCCTGAAACAAATATCTCATTCATTGTGCGTAGTATTGACTGGTATTGCGCACTACACCATTAGCCAGTGTAGAAATGAACCCAATAATAATTCTTGCCAGCTCTGTGCATGAAATTATAGTGCATAGCATACCAGCCATAGGGATAGAATAGATAGATAGAGAAATAAATGAAAACCACCACCACCATATTTACAAACCCCAAAATATCCATACAAAACACACATACACAAATACACATGACAGAACATGAGAGCAGGACACTGGGTGCCCAGCCTTGAGAACTGGGGCGGTGGGTTAAAGAGTCTTTTATGGCTAGCCAACTCTCCCCACACACCCAGTATCAAAACTCTACATCACAAACATATGTTTACAAGTTTTACACCGAATCGAACCACAATCACAAACAACACAATTATTAGTGGTATGTGCATGGACATCAGCCACAGCCCTTCCCAGAGTAGTAGGCTTTGAGGATGTAGCATCATTTGCACAAACCGGGACAGACAGACGGGTAGGACCTGACTTTAAAGGACACAGGTTATCGTCCACCACCTTGGTATGCCGGGCTGGTGGCTACCCCCTACTTAGGCCACTGTAACGATGATGCCAAGCATTTAGACGCTCTCCTCCATAGGGATAACACACGTCAAATTGTAGGATAAGGGCCACTATCTATATATACAAATCTCCATAGTTTGTGCATGCATGCTAGTAATTTGCTGAAAATTGCAAGCTGTACTACACAGTTCTGCGTAATAAGCTTCTTCATCCACAGTGATCAACGGGCGGATTCGTCATGAAACCGTTACGCTCTCACTTTTAGCTGTAGCTGCAGTTGGTATCGGTATCAGTGTTTGGCTGTGGCCTGTATAAAGCCGAGGACCGCCGTTACACCACTTCCGGGGTTCAGCCCTAACTTTTTTGTACGCAGTATTTTATGCCCAGGTAAACTAAAGCCGTTTGTATTAGTCGATGGGCCGCAGGTGCGACTGTGGCGCTGTGTGTAGACCTCGTATACTTATCTACTCACCAGCTGGCAGCGTTCCCACCTGCACCACGGCTCATCGTTCAGGATCAGGAACACGCACGGCACTGACACTGTGACCCCGACACACCCAACGCGTATTAGTTGTGTGGGTGGGTGGGCTCTGCCTCGCGCCCCTAGCCCTCGCCCTCTTTGTCAGCTAGTTTACCCTCGGCGGAGAGTCTGACGCGGGCTATCTACAGTAGTAGATAGCATGCGGGAGCGATACACGCCCTTCGTTGTGACTTATTGTGCCTTCAAGATACACAGAGCAAGCGGGCCCGGTGGAATTATAACCGCATGCGCATTTTCAGCAGCGATTAAAATTAAATGCTGGAAGCGCTCGGCATTTTCAGAGAAAACCGCACAAATTTTCTGACCTTTCATTGCCCGTTAAGTAGGTCGTATCGTTTGTGAGACGAACGAACATTGATTCGAGAAGTGAGATGTAGAGTAACAGACACACACAGACAAACATACCCAACTACCGTACCCTCGCTGCGCATGCGCGCGAGCTATATATATATACTAGCGGGGAGACCACCACGAAATAGCCCAGCCCATCAATTATCAGTACCGCGCATGCGCAGTTAGCCGAGGGTTTGCACTGTAGTGCTTTTCAGATTCGACGCAAAAAATTCTGGCATAATTACAAAAACCTTTGGCCAGAGTGACCAAACGCCATTGCAACAAATTAAATCTGCTGGCCCCGGAAGTCTAGTGATGTCTGTGGGGTGCAGCACTGCATTCTGCTCCCCTATAACAAAGCTACAAGAGGTTTGACTTTTTAGTGCATTTAAAAAGGTGATCGATGGTACACCAAACTAAACAGATGTTACACGGAATCCAGTTCGTAATTTTTCCAGTGCCATCTGTATCTGGGTGGCCATAAGTGAAAGTTCGCAGTCTCTCAGAGTTGCTATGAGGCTCTCCCACGACACTTCCACCCCCTTCCCTGCCAGCCACTCCTTCAGAACCTCTATTAGGACCTTTTCTGTCTTTCCGCGGCAATCTTCAACAATGTTGGCCACTACGTCTCCAAATTCATCTTGGAGAAGGAGTGTGCTGAATGTTTGTAGCTTGGGTCCAACTCGTGATGGCAACTTCATCTTGATCAACTCCGGCAGTGTTGGCTTGTCGCATAAGACTAGAAAAAGAAAGGCCATACCCATTGCTAAATAATATCATGTGTCTAGCCACAAAGAGAAATTTTGTATCTTTTTGTCTTGTATAATAATATTGGTAGGAGCATGCTGCAGTATGCTTTCTTTTACGCTTTATCGTCATTGCATTCTAGCACTAGTGCAACGTGACTCGTGTGACACGTAAATAATGGTATAGATTCATTGCTGTAAGACTACCTTACTTGCATGCTTGATCAACCCGACTGGGTTGTGTTGCTTTGTTTATTGTAGCATCTTCACTTTTATTAACAAAAGTATGTAGTTTACCTGTAAATAGCGGAGCAACTTTTGTCTTTTCCTTAGTTGCAACACGGCTCAGCTCAGGACCTATGAATGAAAAGGACCAATGAAAGCAATCAATCATGAATCAAAAATTCTCACCAGAAGCAGATTCGTGTTGGGTAGTGGGAAGGTCACAGACTTGTTGAGTTTGTAAATCGCAACCTGTTAACGTTCGCCCTGGTGAATCATCCACGTGATGTTCTGAGGTTAAAAAGAGCACAGTCATGAACTGTTGATAAAGACGTTAATTTATTATTAAAGAGACTCACTTCCATTAGACATTTTCGGCTGTTGAGAGAGAGTGGCTGTTGAATTGAAATCAGATTTGGTAAGCGTTGGTGGAGCTGGGTCTGGTAATGAATGACACACTAATCTTATATTCACGCTGCCAGTGGGAAGTATGCATACTTGATCTTAGTGGAGACTCAGTGTCCTGTGGTTTGTCAGCTACAAAGTCTGCATATGGTTCTCCCCGGCCTATATAGAAGAATAAAACGCTCGATTGATTTCCATCAAAATAGGCCAAAAACCCCAAATACCTGATATTTGAGAAATTGTATTAGACTGTGCTTCGGTGATGTTTTGCTGATCACAATCTATAACAGGAATAATAGGTGTCGTTGCTGTTGAATAATAATATGGGTATAAAAACTTACGTATTTCAAGCCACATCTTCTGCTCAGGACTAAGAGAATGACACACACTGGCAGGGGATTTCGAGCAAGTTAAAAGTTGATGCATTCAAATCCAGTCTGGCGATATGAGGGAAGGTGAGAGCAACGAGAGCTTTGCTCAGGACACAGGAAGGAGAGTTCCGGTGTTCTGACTTCATAGTTCAAGTTGTGCATTGCTTTTTCCATTGCCGTAATGAGTGTGTCACGTATATTATGATAGAGTGCTGCACTAGGTTTGCATGCAACAATCTGTGGAAGCTCTAACGCCACCTCAAAGTAGGAGGAGAGGGGGTCAAGAAACATTAGCTTTCCAGCTATATTTCCCGGTAACTCGAAAGTTATGCTATTTCTAGCTACCTGAACTACATCGCCATCCTTTGTCAAGAGTTTCCAGCCAGCATTGGTTAGCAGGTATGCAACGGTGCAGCAGAAGATCCCAAGCATCGGGCTTTTCTTGGAAAAGTGGAGTACGAAAGAAGATCGCACTTGGCCGTCAGGAGGTGGTGGAGATGGGTAGATGTCGCTCACCTCCATGACACAAGGCATCATAAACTCAGCCTGGCCAACCTCCGTGAGCACCAACTTTGAGACCAGGACATCAAGAAGGTGGTGTGGCTCAAACAGACCCTCACTGTAATGCTTTGTGAGCTGCGGCGACTGCAGGATTTCGAGCGACACGATGCCTTGCTGGAGGAACTTCCTCTGAGGCCCACTCGTTGCCCCAGCGTGATCTTTGAGCTCGAGGTGGTATGCACAAAGCTCAGTGATCTTGTCGAGGATCACCTGTGAGCTGCCAAATATGACGCCAGGCAGGGCGTCAAAAAAGGAGAGGATGTTCAGTTGACGCAAGTATTCAAGTGCAGCAATGAAAGAGGCCATGTCGAAGCCAAGTTTGTGAGCTATGAATTCACACTCTCGCCTACTGAGACATTGGCGGCCAAGCTCCTTCATGAGCAAGTGCAGCGCAACTTCGTACCCATACCATTTGAGTGGGAGGTCCCTAGACTTGACTCGAGACCTACTGAGCAGCAAGTACTTTAGCTGCTCGACTTGCTTAAAATCTTCCTTTTCCGGTTCCCTCGCGTTGATTCTGAATGTGACATTTCTCAGGGAGCCACCGGCAGATATGACTGACTGTTGCATCTCCTGGGGGAGCATCTCGGTAATGATACTGTTGAGCAGCGTATCTTTCTCGTCTGGGGACTCTGGACAGCTGCTTGGGGAGTAGGTGTCGAGATGTGTACCCACGAAAACAAGATTGGGTGTGCGACCTATGCTACTGCGTGCAGCTTCGGACTGAATGACCTGAAGGTCGTGGCGGATCACCTGCTCATTGGTGTAGTGGGATTCATACGGTGCACATGTTAGCTTACCCTCCTTGTAGAAAGCCACCTCGCCGTGAAACGCAAGAGGCTCGCTTAGCTTGAAGACCGATACAAGGCCCGAAAGCTCAGGGATGAAAATGGAAAGGAGGTCGTGGAATTGAGGCTGGCCACCCGAGTCGATGATGCGGATAGAGTGGGAAACAAGCATCTCCTGTATAAATCCACCCCCAGACTCGATTACAAGCTCCCGGAGACCTTCCTGGAACTCGGTAAAGAAGCCCTCGATATTGTAAGGATCGTCGTCTAGTGTGGTGGCCAAGGTCTTTTTGAACAAGTTGCTCATTCCAGACCGAAGACGACCTACAATCAAATTGAACTTGGCCCTCACTGACGATTCAAGGTACCGGGAAGAGGCAAGGTAGGCTTCTTGCTGGGGTTTATCGTCTGAGGCTGTTTCTTTGTTAACGTATGCTGTGTTTTCTTTCTCATTGGCCCATCTCTGGTACATGAGGTGAGTAGTGTGGGCTATCATTCGCGAGAGACAGCTGTAGTCAATCTCCTTCCAGTCACGGGTGTACGTTTTGGTTGAGACATCTCGAACGGGGCAGAGGTGGAGCGATTGATTGGCGACTGGGGTACTGATGCGAATCAGATCTCTCTGTTTCCCGAGGAACATGGCGATAAGACTCGACTTGCCTGCCCCTCCCGGTCCATGAATGAGGAACTTGTCATCTTTGTGGGGAATAAAGCCATCACGAAGTGCAGCTTTTAAAATTTTTTTCACGGAGAATTCAACTGCACAAACATTGACAAAATGTTATCAATGGCTTAGACCATATAGAGTGAACAGTAACTTCAGAGACACATAGATATAATGTGTCTATACAAGCTGCATGATAAATGACGTCGCATGGCAAACACAAAGCAAGCAACACTCTTTGGGTAGCCCCTTTTCAACTGGGTGGATTCGAACGCAGTAGACCTAATCACTGACAGCTGGACTAAAATAGTACACAACACAGAAACAAGGCTAAAGCAAACCACAAAAACTCCCATGTGGTAGCACAGAAAGCTGACACTATCTACTAAACGTAGAATTGATAGACATTTTAATGGGAACTACAGATGTTACACAAGTTGTGTCTGAAAAGCTCCCTACACTCAATTTCAATACAACCGTGGGCCACACACTGTGTTACAGATGGCCACCATTCATACACTGCAAAGAAAGTTACCCACTTTCTTGTCACATGACGTTGCCCCTGACCTTCATTCCTATGGATGCACTCTTTTTGTGCATAAGCTGTGGTAACTGTACTACAATATTGTGCACCCATGACCAGTATTGGCTTACCAATGAATAACAACAACTAGATGCTCTAGATAAAGATACTCATCATCTCCCGTGCCTTGCCCACGTGATAGCTATTTCAGGTGCAGAAACAAGGAGAAAATGCATAGCTGGCGTGCAATGTCCCGCTCCTTGGCTCATACACAAACCTCACGTCACATGATTGAAGGTACCCATACCTAACATACACAGTACACACAGCCCACTCGTGAAAAGCCAACAAGCCATGGATGTTATCCTAACACACACACACACACAGAACACACCCTATTATCGCACATATGTACCTAAGGATCAACATAAAGCGGTTAATGTAGAATTTATGGACATTTTAACAGATGTCAGATGTTACACAAGTTTCAGTTTTGATACATGTCCATTGATAATTTTCACATTTGAGTTTTTTTCTACTTTACTCATTAAAAGACTCACCATTCTTATTTTGTGATTCTCGAATGAGACGAACAAGGTCATGAAAAGCTTTGCTCACATTGACGGTGTGCTTGGCACTTGTTTCTACGTATCTGATCTGAGATAAGCAGAAGTATGAAGTTCACAGAATTTCATGAATAATTGGCCGCACAATAAGTAATACAAGACTCAGACATGCAATTAATATCAATAGTCAGGAAGACTGTCAGATTACACACCACCTTTACTTCAGAAACATAACTGACTGAGAAGATGTTGCCTATAGCCTCAGCATTTCAAGCTAGAGAGATAAAAACTTGTTGCTCCCATTATGCCACACATTTACCTTCACTACTTAGTCAGTTGTAATTCCCAAGTGACTTCAGTTATGATAGATCTAGACTTCATGTCCATACTATATACAACCACATGGTTGGGTCACCTTGCCAGTATAAACTGACATGAGTATATACACAAAAGTAACCATGGTTTCATGATAACCATCAATAGTATGGGACGTGGGAAACAATCCTTGCAAAGCTGGCAGCAGGGGATTTTGTTCACTCTACAACTCAACCCAGGACAAGGGCAAACCCACAACTCTGTGCAAGCTGGCTGCCACTTGTAGGAATTGGGGAAACACTTTTCTGTGATGCTTGACATTTCACACATTACCTCTGGCAGGCTACTAAATTCCAGTAAGTATGTTCTGTAGTTAGACATCTGCTACGTTGATAGCAGCTGAAACAGGCCTTCATGGCTAAAACACATGCACTATGGCAATGCGTGTGTGAACATTAAATGGCGAGTGAAAGAGTGAAAGCCATCCTGCTGAACCTAGTTGTCTGAAATGCATGCTGCACACTGTTTGAATTACTTGTTGCAATTGTGTCTACTTGAGTGCATTAGTTCTATAGCCCTCTATTGCCTTACTTTTAGTTGTAAAGCCAGAGCCTCTCCCTCAGCAGTAGAAACCTCCCTCTCTTCTTGCTCCATTCTTTCCTCTTCATGTGGCTCATTGGCTACCAACACCATAGGAACATCAGGCCTACAGCATTTCCACGACTTTACTCACAATTATTTATCGAACTGGCAGTTAGAATGCTTACCAGCACCACGTTTTTTCTACAGGTTGGTCTACCAATGGCTATTGACACAGGCTAATAAGTTGTGTGAGGTTAGTGAGCTGGCCTTCAATCCATTTGCTTATCCAATGGGTATATTATTATACTTATCGTAGAAATTACACATTCTTTGTGTAAGCAGCCTGTGTTGCTGCATCTTTTAAAAACTATACACAGATTTAACATACATGTCCTTGGCTCGAAGTATTTGTTCATGATAGTCCAGAATATCATGAAAAGTCATCCTACTCCTGATGGAATAGACGAGTAGGAATCCTTCCTGGGTACGTATATACATATCACTCATGGCAGTTAAAGTCTGGGAGGAGGAGGAGAGAGAGATAAAAACTTAAAAACACAATTGATTCACTAGGTTTACTTCTTGTCCAGTTGTATCCAGGATGTCAAGCACAGCCACCTTATCATCAATTATACACTGCTTTCGATAAAAATCTTCAGCCGCAGGCTCAATCTCGTTACCCTAATTTAGAGGAAAATTAAATGTACATCCTTGTGCCGGTCCATATACATGTGTGAGCCTTTACGCCGCTGGCATCCATTACTTCCACAATATCTTGCCGTCTTCTCAAAAAACAACCTTGCCTCAGCACAAACACGCAATTCTATGCTCATAAACAGCACACTCACACTCAGCTACATGCATTTAGCCTCACTTTCCTCTCCAGAATAATTTTCTAACCCGCTATGTATGTACATGTTTCATGAACGGTAACGGTCTAATATTTTTAATTTGGTTCAGCCATTAATACACTGTAAATGTTTAAGGTTAACGGAACATTAAAGGGAGGTAGGTAGAGAGGTGTTAAGTGGAAGTAGAGAAAAACAGAGTTACTAGAGAAGTAAGCATACTTGAATAAACTGAGAGATGAGTTCTGACTTTCCTGTCCATCTTGCTCCGACAACTAACAGCTTATATTGTGTAAACGCTTTAGACGTCGCCATCTAGGAATAGAGAGAGAAAACTCACGGGAAGTTTCGTGGGTCTATTTATTCTGCTAGCAATAATTTCTCTCTATTATTCTCCCTACATAGCTACTATGAAACATGCCCTTTCTATTCATATACCGCCGTTTGGTACGGGACTGAAGAAGTCTCAGACGCCAGGTGCTGCTGCTTCGCTAGGTTCAGTGGACCTACTCGCCTTCTCACCTTCGCCTACTGATCCGTTGGCATGGCAACTGGTCTGGCTGTACTGCTAATTACTGCTCTCATCTATCGTATCTGTGGCTCAAGGGGAAGGCAACTTTACGGTCATCCGTGCACGTAACTTTTCCGTAGCGCGCTTGAACCCCACGCTTGTTGTTATACTTGCCACGCCTTCTCGAGTGCGCTTCTCCTCCGTATTCTTCTATTTTTTCCCGTAATTAATGGTGTTCGAATTACCGGTTGAGTTGGCGTTTTGGGGGGTCGCATGATCCGAACTGCACATGCTCTTGGTTTTACAAACGCACCCAGACAGCTGAGAATGGCAAAATGCTGTGTTGGCAAGCGGATGATCCGCTCCTCTAGTCCGTGTTTAGCTGATCGACGAACAATCATTTCGGCACACGACGTTACGCAAACGCGGTCTTTGTTCATTTTTACACATTATTATGGTCGCAGAGTACAATAAATACCAAAAAAATAATATTGTATGCATCAAGATTGTACTTGGTGCAGTCTGTCTAGTGCCATCTGTATCTGGTTGGCCATAAACGAGAGTTTACTCTTCCTCAGAGTTGCTATGAGGCTCTCCCACGACACCTCCACCCCCTTCCCTTGCAGCCACCGCCTCAGAACCTCCATTGCCATCTTTTCCGGATTCTCTCGACAAGACTCGGTGATGTTAGCCATTTTGTCACCTAGATTATCTCGAAGAAGATAGGTACCAAACGGTTTGATTTTCGGTCCAACGCGCGAGGGCAAGTCGATATCCTGTAGTTGGATAAGATCTGGCTTTGCAGCTGTGACTGTGAATAAAGAAGAGGATGAATTTCACACAGAGGGAGTAAATGTATAGGTCTTCATGCATACTTGATAGAGGAGGAGCTGCTGTAGTCCTTATCTCTGTCTCACTGCCAACATCGACATCATTATAAGAACCTGCTCAGAGAAACAAGCAAAACAAAGACACAGGTCACTTCACTTTACATACCTACCAACCATCCCGCTTTTTGTTTGATAATCAAGCAAAAATACTGCCTATCCCACCAGAAAATCGCAAAATCCCCCTTTTTTGTGCTAACCTGCGATGCATCGTGCCCATACATTTTGAATGGACACACAGCATTTTCAAGCAAAAGTACTCCAAATCAAGCAAATTTGACACATTTCTCAAGCAAAGGGTTGTCTGCAGGTTGGTAGGTATGCTTTAGCACTTATCATTGGTCAGAAGAAAACTGCACACTGTGTAACAATGTGTAAGATTAGCAAAGTACAAAAAACTCACTATTAAAAATTTTCTGAACAATCAATCCACCTCTTCTGGTCGGAAGTCAGACTGTGGAAAACATCACCTGGCTTGATGGAACAGGTTATGAAACCTTGCGATTCATCGATTGTCGAAAGATGAGGGAAGGGAGAGCATTTCGAGCTCTGCTCTGGACACATGAATGCCAGCTCTGGCGTTTTCACCTCGTAATTCAAGGTTTCCATCGCTTGCTTCATTGCCATGAAGAATGTGCTGCGGATTCTTGGGAAAAGAGTGGAACTATGCTTGGCTGCTATAACTGCGGGCAGCTCTACCACTACCCTCCCAGGTAAGAGGAAAGGGGATCGAGGAACGTTATTTTCCCTGGAAGCTTGTTGAACATCTTGAAAGCGACGCTGTTCCGAGTTACCTGAACTACCTCACCGCTCTCCTTTAGCAGTTCCCGTCCAGCCTTGGTCAGCAGGTACGAGATGGTACAGCAGTAGATCCGAGCATTGGGCTCTTTTTCGAGAAATGGAGGACGAACGACGATCGGACGGAGTTTTTCGGTAAATATCACCAACCTCCAGAACGCAAGGCATTAGGTATTCCCCCGGCCCAACCTCTGTGACAATGAAAAGCGATTTGAGAACCTTCAGCATATCTTCCGGTGCAAAGTGACCACTGCTGTAGTGCTTGGAACAAGCTTCGGACTGGACGATCTCCAGGGAAACGATGCCTTGCTGATGAAATTTTCGCTCTACCCCACTAAGCGGTCGATCACCCTTCTTTAGCTCGAGGCTGTAGGTGACAAGCTCAGTGATCTTGTCAAGGATAACCTGACAACTGCCAAAGATGGTGTTGGGAAGGATATCGTAGAAGGTGAGGATGTGAAGCTGACGCAAGTAGTTGAGACAGGCTTTCAGGGATGGGGGATCGAACTCAAGCTTGGACCCAATGAACTCGCACTCTTTCAGGCTCAGAAGCTGACGTTTTAGTTGCTCCATTAATTTGCGCAACGCCAACTCGAACCCGAACCATTTCAGTGGCAGGTTTTTAGGCTCGACCCGTGACTGCTCGCTTAGCTTGTTCTTTAGCTGTCGCACCGTTTCGTAATCTTCGTCGCTGGCTGTTCGAGTGTTCACCCTGAACGTAACCTGCCGTAGTGAACCGCTCTTACTGATAACACATTGCTGCACTTGCTCCTCGGGGAGGATCTCGGTGATCATGGAGCGCAGCTGCTCATCTTTCTCGTCGGGCGTTTCGGCGCAGGTATGCTGCCGATCAAGGAATGTGCCCACGAATGCAAGATTGGGAGCCTCGCCACTGCGGTTTGCTCCCGACTGGATGGCCAGGAGATCATGGCGGATTACTTGCTCGTTGGTGAGATACGACATGTAAGGATCGTTGGCCTGCACCCCATCCTTGAAAAACACGACCTCGCCGAGAACATTAAGATGCTCAGACAGCTTAAAGACAGAGATAATGGCAGTGACCGCAGGTAAGATATGGAAACTACTTCGTGAAACTGCGGCTGGCCTCCTGAGTCGAGTAGGCGGATGGAGTAGTGCAATAAAAGATCAGTTAAATCGCCAAATTCGCTCATGATCTCTTGCAGGTCTTCCTTAAATTGATGTCGGCAAGAAGACTCTCGATATTATCCGGATCATCTCCTAGTGAGGGCTCAGCAGCTTTCTGCGATTTCTTTACGAGCTTACTCAGCCCGGACAAAAGCTTGTGTTTTAGCTTAGCGAAATTTTTCTTTTTTGGAGTGGAAGCGAGAAAGGCCAGATCTTTTCCCTCGGTTCCAGCCGCTTCCCCAGGCTTATAGATTTTCTCGATTGCGGAGCCTGCCTGGGAGACGAGGTGTCGACTGGTGTGGGCAACCATGCGTGCTTGACGGTCGATGTCCACCATCTCCCACTGACCGGTGAAGGTGGACGTTGACACATCTCGGACGGGACAGAGGTGGAGGGGCTCTGCGGTAAGTGCAGTGCTGACGCGAGCCAGATCTCTCTCTTTCCCTTGGAACATGGATATCAGACTCGATTTGCCCACCCCTCCTGGTCCGTGGATGGGAAACAGGTCATCTCTGTGTGGAATGTACCCATCCTTTAGAGCAACTTCCAGGCATTCCTCCGCTTGAACTGCAATGATGATACAATTGTAAAATTTTCAGTATGAACCAATGTTTTTAACTCTCTACCAGCATTTGCATGTACGTGTGTAATCAATGGGGTTACATGCATTACTTTTCTGAGCCCACTGCCATGAAACTGATATGCATTACGCTGTGGCATCACTGCAACACAGAAACAATTATGCATACTTTATTTCTCACAGGCTTATATTCACACAAATACTCTGATTGGATTCTTTCCACGGCCACATTTTCCCATGATTTAAAGTAGCTTGCTCTGTGCCAGGCATGACTGTGTATACACGATCCGTAGTGATTCTTAATGTCAATGGAGGCTTCTGTACTAACTCAGGTCCCTTGTGGCTACTTATATGCCTGCCGTGTGAGGCATTTAAAATCTGCACCAAATGATGGTGGATCCAGTCCAATACGAAATGAGTCTCATACGCAAAAAAGTGACAAGCCTCTGGGCTTGTTAAAGTATAGACTCACATCCTGAGTTTGTAATAAGACGAAGAATGTCAAAGAACACCTTAATTCCTTCCTTTGCACTTGTTTCTAAATACCGAGCCTGTATAGGAGAGAGAGAGTGTGTGTGTGTTTTGTTAGTGAATCGAGACAAAGCACATGAAATAATAATCAGGCTGATCAATTCTTTCTTTACTCCTTACTCCAATGTTCAAAGAACTATTGTTCTTCTGATAATTTATCCTGGCAGCTCTCTAGTTTATCTCTCCCTTTCCCACCCTAAGTCTCTTTATCTCTTCCTCTCTTATTCCCCTTTCCATTTCAAGTTTACCCCAATTCTTGCAGCCATTGCCTTTCCCTCAGCAGTTGTGACAACTCTTTCATCTTCAAGATCTATCTTGTTTCCTACCAACAACAGTGGAACATCATCCTTGCAACAATTAGTAATATCGACTATGTTCAGAGACATTAGCCAATACTATTATCGTGTGTGAGGATAGAGTAAAGTGAATGGGTATGTGTCAGAACTAAAACAATTTTCCAAGTTATCTCAAATGGTGAGGAACTGTGCAAGGTATGACTATGCAACTTGCAGACTACAAAAATCCAATGGAGAATTGGCTGTGATATATAGTCAACATTACATATTTCAGCGTAATAACGATATTCGTATATATAAGCACATACATGGCAGACATTAGCTACACTTTCGAAATGCTCTTGGTGAGATGCTGATGCTGTGTATAGGACATGTCAGGCTAAAATTACATTTAAGAATGAATTGTGAGAGAATAAGGAATAATAAATGTTTCTCTCATTCTACTGTAATAAAACACCTGGGGGAAGAATACAAAATGCACTGGCTGCAAACGTAACGCAAAAGCCATTTCTTCACAAATACCATGCAATGCTTTTAATTTTTGTAGCATTTTATAATTATAGCAAGCTTTATACATTGTGTTGTTTTTCTCAGTTCTATCGACGCATGCAGAATTTTCCGTCAGGGACAGTGTGCTTTGAACCAGTACCATCATTGCACAAGCAGCTCCCAATAATCTGTATACATTCACACAAAGCAACAGGATAGCTCATTACCCATGCTAGAGCATGCCACATATCTCTATAATAATGTTAAAAATAGTCTTACTTGTCCTTGACACGGCGCATTTGCTCTGCTAAAGGAGGAAGATCTTCCAAAGAAGAACTGCTTGTGACACTGTAGACGAAAATGAATCCATCCCCATTTTTGAAATAAAGATTATGCAGGCCGCTGAATGACTGTGGGAGGAAAAAAGAGACGGGGAGGTAAAAATCAACACGCTGTATTATAGTGTCATCAATAATGATCAGAATCATTGAGGTCAAATCAAACCTAGGATCTTGATAATCAAACTAGACTCAAAACTATTATGGGATAAAATTGGACAAGAGATGAAACTAATCCATTATGACATTGATATAACATGTTTATATTTGCTATGGCTTCTTGAAATGACGCAAGTGGCGTGTGAGTGATAAAGAACAGACAAAGCTTGTTAACCCTCGGCGCGCATGCGGAGTGAGGGTTACGGTACATGGTTAGTGGTATACCGCACGTGTGCAGTTCACCAAGGGTTTGCACTTTAGTGCTTCTCATAATTATTTTAATGTTAACGATGGCAAGCAGCCGAAATTTCTTCAGCATAATAATAGTTTAGTTCCAATGTAATAATGGCAGTATTATCCTCACATTTGCGTCCCCTGTGTCAGTAATTTCCATTACCACTGTCTCACCACCTATCTTCAGCTGTTTTCTAAAAATGCCTTCAATCGTAGGATCAAATATATCCACAAATGTGCCCTAATTAAGAATACATGGAAGTAATGTAAAGCACTAAAGTGTGCACCCTCATCCAAGGGGCATGAAGCAAATAGTCAGTGTTAGTAGCTAGAAAAGCACAAGGTTATTGTACTGGCCATGCACAATAGCACGTATTAAGTGCCGATACGGATAGCATTCTTCACTGGGTGATGCTTGAATCGTTCTGTTTTCAATGGCTGGTCAGTAGCTATACTAAAGGCAAACATAGTAAGGTTGGTTCTGATGCTTGCCACATGCACACCAGTACTCACATGGTCAGCCTGGCTCCACGAGCCTTTGGAAAATACGTTGAACAGAGCAGATTAACATACAAATAGAGGTGCAAATGCCTATAAACAAGTGAAAACTCAGAAAAACGGAAGAAAAGAGTTTAGCTAATAATAATAGCATACCGTCACAAATCGGGTGATGAGTGCAGTTTTTCCTGGGACACCATATCCAAAGACTGCCACTTTGTACTCATTCATGTCCACTGTTCCAGTGAGAGAAAGATAGACTGCACCTTAAAGCATTTTGCAATATTAGCAGATTTATGTTGAAAATTAGAGCAACTGTATGACAAATTAGTGAACCTTTCATATGGGCACATTTTACTACAATACCAACATACGGTTCACAAATTTTTCCTGCTAAAATTTCAGGGTACAACAAATTTGTCACCCCTGTAGTACGATATTACACAGTCCCAAATTTGTGAAGTTGACAGTAAAACTTTACGAAATTCTGCATTTG